TCTTCATAAAAAATACATTGGGATTTTGATGGCCTGTGGGGGCAAAGCCCGAAGACTTTTATTACAGGAATTAGTGAAAGGGGGCGTCTACACAAAAATACTTAATTTTGACGCATCATTTGTAAAAATCCGTCCATTATTAACGGAGGAGTAGTGATTCGTAGAAATCGCCTTCACGTATCCTACTTCCTACTAATATTATAAATGGGAAAGTTTGGATGTATGGATGTATGTTTGTGACAAGTGAACGCGAAAAATACTGGTCAGATTGGGCTGAAATTTGGCATGATGATAACTCACATTCCCGATTAACATATAGGCATATTCTTATTTCAAAAATCCTTTCGGGCTCCGCCCCAGTGGCTCTGGAGTTTCCCATGTTAACCTTATGAGAAATGGAATTATTGAATCTTAACAGCTGTTTAAATTAAACAAGTTGGTTCTGTTCTATGATGTTCAATAGCATTAAAGTTACAAGGATTACCAACAGGTTGCAGCACTATTATTTCTTTTACATTTATGACAACAGCTAATTTGCAACCAAAAGGTGAGTGAGCGTAGCGAACAAACTTCAACCAGGACATGATTGAGCCATGCGAACGAGATAATCTTGAAAATTAAGAAGTTAAACGGGGCAAAGCCCAAGGGTTACAGCTAGTTATATATAAGGATGTGAATTAAAAATGATAACTTAGTCCAATTTACCCTCGAGAAAGAGTGCTGAAAAATTATATTTTCTGTTCTTATACAACAAATTTTTATCCACATAAAACAGAACAATTTTTGTTGTCTAACTTCTTTTGCGTTCCCACCAATGACCAATTTTATTACGAAACAATTATAGGGGAAATTTAACTAATTGCTGGGTAGCTGGTTAATATAGCCAGGTCATCAAGTAGATCCAGGGAAAAGTCAAAGGTTGGAAACAGCTGTCCTTGATCTTGGGGCTTATCAGCTGATCGTACAGTAGCTGTAATTTCGCTCATACGTCACTCTTCGCTTATCCTGAAATACTTTACCAGAAGTGAGTCGGCGTGTTAGTATTTACCCAACCCTCCAAGTTAAAATTCCCTATCCCAAGCGTGATGTATACAACTTCCTTACTTCTCGAGTGATGTAAAGTATCAAAAACTCACTCGGTGATGTAATTAAACCCATTTAAATAACATTGAGTGATTAACTTAAAAAATATACCTCTATGGAGCCAACGACGTTCAACCATTGACTATTGGATATTTTTAGTCAAAGGTTCAACGCTAGAAATCAGCTGTGCTCTTGAGTTTTATTGTTATGTTTTGAAGACTTTTTCTAACCTAGCTTTTGTTTGTAAATGAACGTTACTGTTAGAAGATGAGTGAAATGGATAATGATTAATATTGTTCGTAACCTCCTGTATATTGTCGGGTCAGGTAAAATCTTGTACGTTACACGTTACGCAAGAGCGTGTTTACATCACTTAGGTAAATTATGCAACTCGCTTCCGCTCGTTGCACAACCTTCACCTGCGTGATATAAAAACGCTCTTACTACACTTGTAAGGTAATAGCTATATGTAAGGTATATGTAAGGTAATAGGAACGTCGTTGGCTCCATAGAAGTATATTTTTTAAGTTAATCACTCAATGTTATTTAAATGGGTTTAATTACATCACCGAGTGAGTTTTTGATACTTTACATCACTCGAGAAGTAAGGAAGTTGTATACATCACGCTTGGGATAGGGAAGTTTAACATGGCGGGTTAGGTAAATAGCTATTTCTCAACTGGATTAACATAAAATCGATTGAAAGTATCGATATTTTTCACATCTGCAATGAAACTGTTATTACCTTACTTGGCCTAAACTTGCTGAATATGAAAAAATCGAATGAAGGTGGACTAATCGAATCTATATTCGATTTCTCTAATCCAGCAACACTTAAATTCAGGGGTTCGAATTCCTTCAGGGGAGTAAGATTCGCACTTTTATTGTTAATCATTACACTTGTTCTATTTTCGTTATACTCCCAAGATTAGGCCTAACCAATATCAAAGGGGTAACACTCCATAAGAGAGATATCTCAAATTACTACGTTATGTCCAGTGCCCGGGGGGTAAGATTCCGCTACCACGAGATTTCACCTACTAAACTTTATCTAGTCTTGTATTTTGTATAGATTTACGTTATAATTTACATATTCTTTTCAACAACTGTTATGGATATCAAACACAACACAACGTACAAGGTCGTCATACAATAGCAGGCTGACCACAATAATACATTATATTATTTTGTCGCGGCTCATCTGCCTACTTCGTTTTTTCCTTGCATCTTTTATATTATGTACAATGCCCGTCTTCTTCAACAAGCATTTCTATTTGATTGTTTAGAATTAGTTATACTGTATTTTGTTTACATGGAACAAGGAACCTCCTTTACCTTTCCATCTGAAAAGAGTTAATGGACATAATACCAATTATTAATTTATGACCACTAATTATTCTTCAATCCTCACAAATTCAAATCTCGGGGAAATTGAATGGAAAATCGCATTTTTAAATTCAACTAACCACTTGTAAATATGTATTTAAACTATGATAAGTTTAGTTTTTAATTTTAAACTCAAATTTATCCCTTCAATGAATGTCGTTGGTTTCGCAAAGAAACTTGTCGGTTCTAGACCCAACTTTCGTCATTTTTCATTGCTGCTATTTTAATTAAAGTCACTTTGCGCACTAAACTCTCACGATCAACTAATTCCTCAGCTAATATTGGACTTTTGTACACCGGCTGCGTTTAAAGCCTTATCAGTATCGAGTTCATCCACCGGGTGTCTTCTGTAGAATCAGAATCATCCCAGGAAACAACCTTCAACCGTGGTCAAGGTCGTTGGTACAAGGTCACACAACAGCTGATCTCTGATAAGCGACGTTTGTTAATAATACCTTACCTGAACCAGGCAGAACAGCGGCGTGGGTGGATAACAAACTTGTTGAGACACCGACTTTTGTAGAATGTTACATGTTTTGATGTTTGTTCAAAAATGTAGAGTAGGTCAGAAACAAAACATACCAATAAGCCCGATATACAGAATATACAAGTTAGAAGAACCATAGAACAATAAGCTAGACATGAATATAAAATTATTATCATCGAGAACTTCAATATGCGAATGAATAGGTGAATTTGGCCATTGGGTCTGATGATGATTATAGTGTCCAATATCGAAATCGATCAACACTACCTTCTTTCATAATATGTAGCCTATTTACAGTCTTGTTAAAACAGTACCTATAAGTGTAAGTGTCTGTTTCAAGTGTTTTTATCAACTTTCCGTAACATATGCTGATTAAGTGGTTAAACTAGTTCCAATCCATTAATTAATGTATACACATCCACGGATGATTATTGAATGTAAAGTGCAAGATCGAACACATAGTTTGTTATAAGCTTAAATCGTCTAACGTTAATCTTGATTTGTTGGCTACTCATCATATAAATAAATTTATACACAATTTACAAAAAAATGTGTAGGTATATTTCGAGTTTACTTCTAAACCCATCATCAGCCATCGTTGTTAACAGAGGCTGACGATGGGTTTAGAAGTAAACTCGAAATATACCTACACATTTTTTTAGTAAATTGTGTATAAATTTATTTATATGATGAGTAGCCAACAAACCAAGATTAACATAAATAATACCATCAAGAAAAAGACATACCGGAATGAATCTTGTAACGTATTTTACATTTTATATATTTCTCTAAAAAATTTTTTATGAAACTCTCTATGGCCTGAACCGTTTTCCCGCTTTCACACAAATGTAAACATAGTAAAATCAAAAAAAAAATATCACAAGTTGACACCTTGTTTGTCCTGTATACATTGTTGTACCTCCAACACTCGCTGACCCTAAACTTACAAAGCCACTTAAAAACCCATTATGCCGCGATAAGTCGACCGCCGCTCTAGGACGAGTCTTATGTTTTCCTCGACTTTCGAGGAATGGGGTTCACTTTCTCGCAGCAAACAATAATATTTAGCAAACAAAACATTAGCGTTGACCAAACAGTGGCAAGGACATCTTCGGAACCACAATAATATTGTCTGTGGTCGTTAATGTAAACATATTAGATAAATAACGATGTTCTGGGGGCGCACGACGCTCGGCCTGGGGGCAACGATGACTCATCTGGACTTATAAATAAATACCCCCGCCGCAGCAAACCTGCAGACTTAGCGAATTTCCATTTGCCTGATTGGATTTACACTAAAATGTCTCCTTAAAAATATCACATTTATTCCCTATTTAAACAGAATTAGTTTAATGAGTACTTAGGTTTGCTGCAACAGGGAGGGTAAACAAGTTTTTTTTAACGTAAAATGTTAAAAGGTACTGTAGTTTAGTAAGAAATTAATGTATTTTCCAAATTTGATCATAATATGTTCATAAACAAGCAAACTACAACAGTTGACTTATTCTCCATAAGAATAACATGGGAATTTAAAATTAACATTTTTTTGAATTTTCTCCGTAACAATTAGGCACATAACTACGCTTCAATATACTAAATTATTTGTTTTTTTAAGCTCTACAAAATGGTTTAGAAAGAAATTGTGAAATTTTGCGTTTTTAGGGTCAAAAATGGGAAAATCCTATTTTTACCCCATAAAACCCACCATAAACCCCCGTTAACATAGTCCGATCATGCTAGTTCGCAAACTCATTCAAGTTTATCCCGCTTTACACCTTCAAACCAAATTTTATCAAAATCGGACAAAAATTACTCAAGTTATCGTGTAAGTTATATACCTATATATATCTATAATAGATATATAAAAATTTGAACGAATGGTGTTTTTGGCCTCTGGGGACATCAAAATGAAAAAGTAAATCGGTCCTGGGCCTAGGTCTTACCATGAGACCTACGGTAATGGTAATAGCTACTTCCCAATATGGGAAATTCACTAATAGCAGTAAAACATCTTCCTATTATTGAAATGTATATTTTTTTACAGGCAGTGCATCCAACTGTTGAACTGATTGTTAGGTAAGTAATACATTATTATGTGTAATACAAACTAACCTGTGTAATTGTATTCTGTAATAAATAATTTTTATGGTGTACCGTTCTAAGATAAAAAATAGTTTAAAAATGTCATTCCTCACAAATCTTTTAGTAGCCTAAATAATCTACCTAAATGTAAATTATTCAGAACATACTTAAATTTTTTAAATTCAATCAGAAAATAACCGTTAGCATTTAAATTCAGTTTGTACAGGATTTTCAAGATACATGTGGAGTGGGTGTCTTCTGATTGGTCAGATTAGTCTACAACATTGAAGTTGTAAGCCAATCAGGAGTGCACTATACCTATTTTAAGTCACTTCTTGCTCAAACCTTCCAACCTTTGAGTGTGTAACAGTTAAAAATATTTTCTTTGGTGTTTTCTCCCTTTTGAGGATAAGTTTTTCAATAATAAGGTAGAATCTTGCAAATCCTTGTAGTAGTAATATTTTTCCTTTTATTAAAACTAAATTATTAAAATTTTGAACTTTTAAAAATGTTAAACTCTCAAAATTCTATTTATAAATAATGCTTTTTCATTTTAGAGGCTCACGATTTGGATAACTTGTAATTTCTAAATTTATAATGTACCATAAAATTATTGGTAACTCAATTAAAACTATAAAAGTGTGAAGATTTTTTTAATTTTGTTAAATAAAACTACGACTATTGAAGAAGAAATTATTAAGTTATTGTTTAGCCGGTGATGTCAGATAGTTTTAAAACTAGTGCAATATGAATATAAAATGTTTATAAACTGTTGAGATCACGAGCACATCGCTTGGCAAACAAAATAACTCCTTCCACTTATTTTATTGTTCAGTTCAAAGAAAAACTTGTACTTAGTAAAGCTCTTAGGTAACCATTACAATGTATTGCAAATCACTAATGAAAGAAAAAAACCATTAATATAATTTGTTTGATGTTGTACAATAATCTTTATATTAATAGGTAAGCATGTTTCTTTAAAACCTTTTTTCTCAGCTCAATTGCATCGCAGAGAAAATCTACGCATACTGTTGGAGAGATATTTTCCTGTAGATGTGCAGAATCCCTTTATCAATTAAAATAGGCTCAAGAATAAGCACATAAATGGATTTAAAATTTAAAAAATTAACATGGGCCTTATGGGTTGCCATGCTGGTGACAAAACAAATCACACGTTTTATCATAGACAAACAGAATCAATATAGACTGTCAAAGGAAGGTTCTGGCGTCCACCACTAGGTTTGCCATGTAGTTACGGCGCACACTGCTGCAGGCGAGGAGCGCAGGAGCCAAAATGTAGCCAGCAGATGCTGCAGCGGTGTGCGCCGTAACCACACGGCAAACCTAGTGGTGGATGCCAGAACTTGTCAGCACAGCTGACGGTCTATATTTATTCTATTTGTCTAAGGTTTTATTCAAAGCGTGGGGTGAAAATAAATAAGTCTGTACATTACATACATTTGGTTGAGTTTTTGACTCCTGGACGACCTCTAGTTTTAATATAATGTGTTAATAATTTTTCAGGGCGCCAAACATTAGGCAAAGAATCAGCCAATCGCAGGATGAGAAAGAGGAGGTTAGAAATGCAGAGATGGACGACCTTCCTTACGAGAGGGACAAACCGAGACTCAGTATTGGTTCAGAGGTCGTGGAAGCAAACTTGATGCCTTCCCCAAACAGAGTGAAAAGGATGAAGAAGCTAAGGCGGAAACGTGCCGAAGGTAACGCACACAAACAGAAAGCAACTTTAGGGCTAGTGCAGCATCAAAATGAAAAAAAAAACTGCAAAGCCCAGGATTCAATAGAATAGTGGTACTCATTTGGAAGAAGTAACAACAAAATTTTAAGGATTATATATGGACCAATGTTTGGCATGGAATGTAAATATTGACCAGGTCAGCGAAGTTACTTCTGACATTTACCGTATTTATAGAATGGCAAAAGTCATAAACTATCTAAATTTAGTTTGGATGGAATTCTTATACTTAATAAAGTGCAATTAGAATTATGTTAAGAAAACTACATAAGGGAAGACAACAAGGAATAGGTTGAAAAAAAAAATAATTAAATGACAGTGCCGGTGCTGAAGTAATTAAACAGAATTCTTCCAAAAATAGAGATTAAAATATATATTAATACAATTTTTACTGGGATCTGATGATGTCTTTGGCAGCGGAATCACTCAGTCCAAGAAGCTAATATCCAATTTTTTTGCTAAAAACTGTTTTAGATCTAAAAAAATTAGATCAGTTAGGCTATCTTTGGTCTTTTTTAGTATCTGTGTTTTTAAGCATTCCTTAATAGGTGCCAACTACGAGGCAGACACAGCCCCTTACAGAGAACTATCTCCGCTAAAAGCATAGCCTCCTCTAACACAAGGCCGCTGCATTGGTGTGTGGCAAGGTCATGCTTATTGCCATGGTAATAACAGAAATAACAAAAGTGTAAACATAAACATTTCCTATACTGTCTATTATAAAATTTTACATCTGCTGTTTCGGTTTGACGGCACAGCAGTGTTGGTACCTTCGTCTCGCCGCGGCCTTGTATTAGAAAAAACTATGCTAAAAGTCATATGATAATATAATTTTTATTTCTTATTATAATGTTAACACCAATATTAATGTAATTACAGTACTTATTCCAGTGTATGAGTAAGTCGGGGGAGATAACTCAAAACTGTATACCTACGAATATTGGTTTTCATGTGATATGTTATTTTATTTTATTATTCTGGACCACATATGGCATTTGTTACCAGACTATTAATTAACTGTGCTATCTAAGAAAGGGTAGACGTTAGCGTAGACTAACACAAGTAGACTTCTCATCTCATAGTAAAATCTAAATCTTGTTTTTTACGTTTGGTTCATGTTGGTGGTGTTGTGCGCAAGTGTTGACAAGATCTTGTTTCAGTTGTTTCCCCTATTTCAGGGTTAATTTTATGATTTGTTAGATTGTTTTATTTGGTTAAACTTTTGTAAACAAAAACACACCCCTAGAGACACCATTGGAACTAACATTAAAATTGTCTTCAGCTGATCCATAAGTCTACAAAAAGAGAATTTTTGACTGTGACGTTAGATAGTAATAAATCAAGGGTTTGGACTGTAAAAAAAAGTAACTAAAAAATGTGTAAATTTATTGGATTGGATACAGAAAAATAGCAAAAAATCTGAGGTAAAGATTACTATTTATGCTTTCAATCCCTGGCTATCTTTCAGAGTAATTCTTGCTTTTTTTATTCTTTCATTAACTTGTTGTATACTTGCAGGCGTGCTGAGATCTGATGCTATCATATTCCCAGATCAGCTGGAATCTCAGATAGAGCTCGAGAACCGTCAGTTTCTGGTTCCCAACAACGCCGCGCCACCCCCTTGTGCCAGGGGAGGGGGGGACACATTCTGCGAGTCAGTCGAAGAATATCCTGCGTAAGTATGCTGATATCTATGAACTCCTTTACACGTTTAACTTAAAATTGTAAAAGGTCAAAATAACCTGGTAATGTCTAGTGATTATGTTCCAAGAATGGACTATACGTTTTGAAATGTAAACATCATTAGATCGTTAAAAAATTTGAAGGATTAAATCATCATGAAAATTGTAACGTCATACATTAAATAAACACACACACACAACATTAAATTATACGCAACTAAACACTGAAGGTTTTACAATTGAGTGTGGGCATGGCGAGTGCCTTTTTGTCTCCCGATCGCCTTTATCACAGTTCTTATACAGCTTGATGAGTGATTGGAATAAATATTTGCCTGGAGAGTACTTTTATAATTATTTGTATCTTGGGGATTATTTTTGGTGGCTTTTAAACTTTCAAAGTCCTTAGAAGTCCTTTGAATTCCTTTGATTTTTCAGTAATTGATTATACAATCAATAAATAAAATAAAACCAATGCTAGTATAAATAATCAACACCTGTTTTGTGTTGAAAAAAGTGGAGCTCATCCTTGTCAGAACGTCAATGTAAGTGGTAAAAATCTGCCTTAGTAGAGTTTGTAAATATAGTTTTGTGATTAAAAATGTAAAGTTAAAACCATCCTTCGTTTAATCACTTAAATCATATGACCAACTCCGGCAGGAAGAACTTTTAACCATGTAACTTTACCTTCTAACCTGAAAACGGGTTCACTTTTTTGGGATTCAATACTGCTGTAGTTTCACAACACGTCAATACAATAACAAAATAGAAATTTAAATCTTCATTTTGAAAAAAAAACTTTTGCTCTCAATTAAATGTTTAGTCTTCCGGAAACCGGTTCTTAACAACTTGAAACCAATCCAAAAAGTTGAACGATTTAGTTATTACAAACACATTTTCTAGGTGTGTTATTCAAGCTGAATGTGAATGAGTTGGTTTAAAGTGGAGTATAATGGTTGATGCTTTGTTACTGATTTATTCCAGCTGCTCCTTCAAATAGAATTATTTATTTACGGAATCCTAAGGAAAGTAAAGACCAGTCTGTTTATTTTGTTTTCAGAGAACATGTTATGAGAGTGCTGAGGAAAGAACCGGTTGTTCTTAGGACCTTTTTCCAGGATGAAAGGAAGCAGTTTACCTTGGCAAGTATTTTTAATCCAACAAATTTATTACTACTACAACATTTACTATAACAACTATACTGATTTATTAGCCCGAACTATAATATTACTACTGTATTTGATTTTATTTTAGTAACAGATATAACAGTTTGTAAAATAATTTCCTTGTATTTTAAATAAACCTTCTGCCTTGAGTTTTTATATAAATTAGTACACCAACAATTTTCACTCAGTTGGTTTTGCATTTTGATATGTTTTATAGAGTTAGATCATTTAGCAGTGATATAATTAGAGCTTATTTACAAGTAATCAAATGTAAAGTAATCAAACAAGAAATCAAATTAGCTTAATGAAACACTAGCGGATGAAGACCTTAAGGAAATCACCTTTACAGTTACTATTTGTCACACCGCTAGATCATAAGTTTTACAATGAAACCTCAATTGTGAAAATCAGTTGTGACCTGTGAAAAAGGGGTGTTTCAAAGATGACCCTTATTGTATTAAGTATATAACTAAGGTTAAGGGTGTAGCATAGAGCACAAGGGCCTAGATTTTTTAGGATTTTTTGAGAGGATAGCAGGCTTACCTGAATGGGAAAGAGTCCAAACTGGCACAGGAAACACAAAACAAAACTTTACACTATATACACAAAACATTAGAATATTTCACTGTCACTGACAGCATTTTCAACTAAGGAAGAGGAAGAGATAGTTAATGTTTTGTGTATATAGTGTAAAGTTTTGTTTTGTGTTTCCTGTGCCAGTTTGGACTCTTTCCCATTCCGGTAAGCCTGCTATCCTCTCAAAAAATCCTAAAAAATAAGTATATAACTAGATAGATGGGAGTGTATTTAACATGTGGTGCTTACCAATTTCTCACTTATAAATTTGTCACTCATAAATTTGTGTATTTTTGTGAAACATTTTTTCACACCACAAAGTTATGATGTTCATAATTTTATGTATGAAATTATATTAGACTGCTTTGATTATCAATATTTTTGTCATCACAGGTTGATGATGTTCAGGACAGAATAGATGCTTCTGATGAAAACCCACTCTGTGCTGCCCAGGTTTGTGAATTTTGATTTATTTGGTAAATTAAAAATTACTTCTTAATAAGAATTTTACTAGTTTACTTTCCTATACAAATTTAAAATGTCTCACAACATTTTTACAATACATCCATATTTATATAGTCAGGGGCACACTCATATAAAGGAGCTACAAAATATTTTTTTTCCATAGGAGTACCTTAGATTTTTTTTTAATGTTTAGTACTCTGTTTTCCTAAGTTACTACTCTGTAGGGCTCCAAACTCTAGTGTCTAAACTTTTTCCTCCGGGTGTGAGCTGGCGCATATTGCAATTTGATACCTCCCACAAAATTCCACCAGTTCAACCCTTTCCTAGTGTAGGTTTCTACATCCCAGTTCCCTTGTGCATACTTTCAAAAGTTAGTTAGCAAGTGTGTTTGTGGCGTTCGTTAGCAATGGTGGTTATTCGTGGTAACCTAACTTAAGAGTCAACTCAAAAACTAGCATAATACACAAAGTTAATCGTTCAAAAATAATGTTTATGCACTGCACATTCAGTTCCTCTGGTCAACAGAACAATTTTATAGCACTTACTGGAAAAAGTCGTTTAGCTGTCAACCAACTTAAACACTTGAAGAACGTAATTTTTTGAGTTTCAAGGTAAACTGGGTGTATCATCTCATTATTTTTGGAGTCAGGCAAAATTGTGGGCTCTCCCAAAATAATAGCATAATTGTCTCTCACATTCGCGGTAAGATCAAGAATTTTAAATCCAAACTTTTCATATATGCTTAATGCTAATTTTCTCGTGGGAGTGATTTTAGACCAGTGATAATGTGTTTAAATATAATGCCCTACCAAATTTAAGTAAAGTATTTGGGTAGGTTTTTGAGTGATTCACGTGTTTTTGGAGACACCCATTTAACCCGAAAACCTGTGATGCGAACTGGCCTTGGTTCTGAGGAGCCATCAGATAAGAGGAAGTATACTTCCACTTGTAAGGAGAAAGTATTTGCAATTGTTGTAAAGAACCAATCCACATCTCAGAATCAAACTATTTAGCTGGGTTTTCCTGACTCTGCAGTTTGTGGTGCTTACAGGAGATAAAACATCCCACCTGATAATTATTGGCTTTGAAAAAATCATAATCAAATATTCTTTTCGCCACACTAGACTGTTTTAATAGACTTTCCAGGCATGAAATTAGTCCAGAAATCAGCTGTTTGCCGCCTGCTTAATCAAATGGGGTGTCATTACGTACTACTGTATTGTAATGAATAAATATTCTTTTTGCCACACTAGACTGTTTTAATAGACTTTCCAGGCATGAAATTAGTCCAGAAATCAGCTGTTTGCCGCCTGCTTAATCAAATGGGGTGTCATTACGTACTACTGTATTGTAATGAATTTTCACCGTGTGCCAGCTGATTATAATTATTAGTAATGATTCAAGTCCTTTAGTCGCTGTGAATACTACGGATTTATTGTTAGTTTAGAATAACTTCTTGATTGGCATCGGAGTAGTATGGCAAAAAACATTGTACATCACTCGTCCAAAATGTGCTAACTGGTATTCGTATGGTAATCCTGCACTCAACTATGTCTCAACTATACTTGTCCAATAAACACCTATTTTCCAGACTAGTAACGCAATATACTATTTCAATCCAATTCATAGCATTTTACAGACTTTGTCTCTCATCTATTTGATAGCAATACTCTAATATTTTCTTGATGTCTAGGAGCACACTGTGTATCCAAAGATGGCCAAGAATATCGAAGGAAACTGGCTGTTTGTGATCAACCATGATGAGTATGTTCAGGGTGTTCGTGTGGAGAAGTGTCTGTGAGTATTACAATACAATAGTATTACAATACTGTAGTAATGGGTAGTAATAGAGGATATATACTGTAACGAGTAACAAAATTAACACAAAAAAATTTAAATGTGGTTTGATGGGTGTATAGCGCGACGGACTAAGCATATTTTTCTTTTGCTTGTTACCAAATTAATTCTATACAAAACTTGATGAATCCTGCTGAACATGGTTATACTCCCTTCAATATCTAGAATAGAATGTTGTTTTTGGAAATCGGGTTTACATAGTGAGGATTTTATCCACGATAAGCAAAACAACTTTACAAGACACGTGTGATTATTAAAATATTCACTGTTAGTAACATAATTTACAGTCGTCATCAGGTTCAATGGTGGTTAAGAGTTATTGGTAATTTTGCCAAAAATGTATACTACCACTTGTGCTCTATCATTAATTTCAAAATCATTCACTTCACTTCACTTAGACAGCAAAGTATTTTAGTGTATGTATTTTAAGCTAAATATAAAAGCAAGATTAGTATAAATTTAGTGAGATTATCCGTTTAGCATTGTTTTGTAACTGACTTGCATCTGCTGTTTATTAGCTCAGTGACCAAAGACAGCTGGGGCAGGTTAGAACTTTCATATAACTTAGTCTGACTTTTTCTCAAACTTCAACATCAAACTTGCAGCTTTCTGATTACTAAGTGAGCGCTATATCCACTCAACTAACCAACTATACAACTATTTTTGTTGTGAAGGGAAGATATTTATCTCGTTATTTCCTCGTCATCCAATCAATATATCACTCTGTACTCATACAACTGAATCACAGATATATGAAATCACTTTATCACAGTCTATTTTTATTCTGTAAGTAAATACGAGTTTCCTCAATTGATTTACAAAAATAAATCCTGTGATAACAAATTCATCATGTTTCAGAAATGACCGAGAATGCTCGTTCCCTGCCAGTTTACCGTACGGCTACCGGTCTCAATGCAAGCAGAAGTACATCTACAGGAAGTTGGTAGCCCTGAACGGCACTGGTCAGGGAGTGATATCCGACTCATTCCAGTTTCCGTCGTGTTGTTCCTGTGTGATAAAGCTTGACCATAACATCGCTCACAGCAGGTTCGGAGGATCGGGTGTTGGAGCCGCCTTACCTCTCACTCTGCCCAAGACAACACCTACTCCGTCATCGCTGCGGCACAAACCTAAATCTTGAGCGAATCGTACGTCGGCTAGTGTATTCTCGGCTTTAACAACCAAGAACAATAGAGCGTGGATTGCAATGCTTATTTTCCTCGATGCAGTTAGACTGCCTATTTAATTGCTGAACAGAGTTATTTTTATCTTGTATACTGAAATAAGGACGAATGGTGTCGAGTATTGATAAGTTCCTGCGGTTATTGATCTCAAAAGGCTTTTAGAATTTTTATCATTTATTTGTGAGTGTTCTTTGATACGTTTAAAGCTGTTAAAGAAAACTTTTTTTATATTTGAAATTATTTTTTTTAATATGTTGTATTTTTATGACTAACTTTTCAAAAATATATATATTGAAATTCAATAAAAATTTGTGTAAGCTCAATATAATAAGGTGCAGGTGAGGAAAATGAGAGTGTCCAATAAAGATAGAAAAAAAACTGTTCACAAAACTTTAAAAAAATACCAAGGTATACAGTGCTAAAAATGTATTCACTGAAATTTTTACTCAAGTTCATTTACAGTTTATTCATTGCAGTGGAATTTGGTGTTCCAAAAAAAATATTCTTTTTTTAGCTCCTTTAGCAAAACGTTCATCATCCAATGAGAATGCTACTGCTGTAAATAATCCGTCACAACATTCCAATGAGTATATGATGCAGCCCTCCACTTAGTTACTTGGTCGGAGTGACTTTAAAATTTGATGGCATGGTGGGCGTGTTTCTTAAGATTCCATAATATTAGGTTTGTATCTGTCCAGATACAAACCTGTTTTAATGGAATTTTAAGAAAGCAAACATGCCATCAAATTCTAAAGGTACTCCGATCAAGTAACTGAGGCTTTCTACATAATGCGTTTGCTTCTCCATCGAAATATCGGACTTTGCGTCTTTGGACACCTTCAACCAAGCATAAAAGAAAGTTAATCACATCTCAATCATCACCTGTTGGTTCAGATCACGTCTCAGCTGACGATTCACATTTGCTAAATGCATCTAACAAAAAAATGTCAAGATAAGTTATGGCACCGGCATACAAGCAGTTTAATCCACTCATTTGAAGAAAAAGTGGCAGTGGTTCTGAGCTTCAGCCGAACAACAAATGTTTTGGAGTTAATTTAGCCAATGGACATACAACAGTTGTTGATATACGTTGTCTTAGTTTATTGCAGTTCTATGTTCACAAACAATCAGTCAACAAGCCGACCTTTCATCCGAATGGGAACTTCTTCATTGCTGGTTCTAGAGATGGACTAGTCAATGAGGCATGAAGTGGAGGGCCGCCATCATCTACAGATTGGAATGTCATGACGTATCATTCACAGCATTCGCATTCACATTTGATGGCGAACGTTTCGAGCAACGTTACAGATTACAAAATTTCTCAGGCAATAAGTCTTTTCTCTTCAAACCTAAAATTTGTAATTTCTATTAGATTTGCATTGGGTGATCAGTTGATTTACTAATAATATCAGTTTGTAGTTTATTATGAAACAGGCCCCTGGCAATGTTTATAAAGTAATATGATCATAATTTTAAACAGAACACTTGCTAGATGATACAAGTTTACAATTGTTGAGGTCATACAAAATTATGGCTTTTTTATACCGTACCTATAAATAGTTTAATTTTTCAAGTTAACATTTTGTATTAAAGATATTTGTACAGTAATATTGTACCTCCTAAGATATAGGACTGTAAGTTTTTGGGGGGGAAACGCAGAAAAGGTTTTATAAATAAGTAAATGTATTTTTAATCTGTATAATAGATTTATTGTTATGTGTTCCACATCCGAGACACAATAGTATGTTAAGTAAATTTATATTTTTGTTTTGCATCTCCCTTATCAATGGCAGAGCCATGCTTCTTCTTTTACATGTGATTCTCCTTAGACGTCTCTGATGTGTAAATAAGCAATTAAATAATTTTTAGAATCTTGTAAAGTTTTACTTAAACATTCAGCTCTATTAAATATTGTAAATATTGTACATTACTCTTTGATATGTTACATTGTAAATATATATATATAATGTAAATATTGTATGTAGACACTATTAAACTGTTTATTTATAAAGCAACAGATTTTTTGATATCCTAAAACCTCTGGTAAGTTTTACCAATGACTACAAACACTTTAAGAAGCGAAATGCTTATGAAGAATAGTCAGACTGGAATTTTTCTGCCAAAATGAGCTTACGATCGCTGACGCGGCCGTACTATCTCTCTCTCTCTCTAAGCCAATTCTATGTTTCACTCTCTCTCACTCACTCATCTGACTTGGCGGAACCCTCGCAATCAGGGGTGCCCACAGGGGGGTTTGATGTCGCAAAATGCGACATCAGAATTTTATTTGGGGGGGATTTTATGATTTTGGGGGGGGATTCAATCCAGTGGTTGGTTAAAAGCACATCAAAGATTAATCAGATAACTTTTACGACCTCCTTAATTTATTACTGGGTTATTATGCAATCAAAATCCCGTTTAACATTTTATCTTGATTAATAAATCATTTTATGATTGCTATTAAATATATAGATACTTTTATGTGGATTTCCACTTTCTGACTCGTATCATGTTTGACAGTGAGAACAACTCCATGCCAACTGCTGTCCAAGGATTATGGTTGCTTATTAAATTGTATCTGCAATTTGAGTTTGTTTTTACCTTTACATTATGAACTCATTCTCAAATAGTCTCATTGCCTTGAGAACCTATTGATGGTTTTTTAGGTTTGTTTATTATAATATATTCTTGATTCATAAAAAAAAACAGTATTGACAATCATTTTGCTATTTTTACAACATGAACAACAACATGAAAGCTTGTGATGATATTTTGGCTCTCCCAAATAAATATGCCTGGGTCATTTATTCATTGGAAGAAATTGACATAGTACTGTGACAATTTAATTAAGGTTTTTGATAGGCTATGTGTTTACGTTAACTTCAAGAACTGAAACACATGATTCTGGATTGATTAAATTGTATTTGATTGTCTTTTCTTGAATCTAGAAAGAGCTTCAAACAAATTTTACTAGTCTTAGAATAGATTTATAATTATTTTTTTACGCCACAATACACTATTTTGACGAACTTCCCATACAAGGATTTAGTCCAGAAAACAGCTGTTTGTCCTTAATCAAATGGGGTTTCATACAGTACTACTGTACTGTAATGAGTTTTACGCCACACTACATTATTTTGATGAACTTTCCACGCAAGGATTTAGTCCAGAAAACAGCTGTTTGCCGCCAGCTTATTCAAATGGGGTTTCATTGCGTAATACTGTTCTGCAATGAGTTTTACCGGACACCAATCAGCTGATTATACTGTATTTTCGTGGCAATTAGTGGTTATAAACAAAAACATAACCTCTCTCAGAGGTTATGACTAGTGTTTATTAGTCCTTTAGTTGGTGGATTTGTATAGTTGTGGAAATATATAAGGATTTGTACGGATTTAGTAGTATGCCGTAAACTATCGTACGTAACTCGTCCAAAATGTGTGTACCGGACTCGTATGGTAATCCCGTACTCGACTTCGTTTCGCACGGGAACGACCACACTCGTCCGGTAAACACTTATTTTCAGGACTAGTAACGTAATATACTATTGCCGGACACCAATCAGCTGATTATACTGTATTTGGGTGGCAATGAGTGGTTATAACAAAAACGAGAGGTTATGACTAGTGATTTTTAGTCCTTTAGTTGGTAATAATATTAGGATTTGAACGGATTTAGTAGTATGGCGTAAACTATCATACGTCACTCGTCCAAAATGTGTTGGCCGGACTCGTATAAAAAAACCACTACTCGACTTCGTCTCGCACGGGATTCAGGACTAGCAACGTAATATACTATTTTACTACACTATGATGTTTTTAACTGTTTTACATATAGGCACATTAATTGATGGTTGAAAGTTACGTTGTGCAGGCCATGCCAGCTGTCATCGTCATTCGGGGATCGAGCAGGTTTTTACATCCCTATGGCCGCAAAATCAGCTGACCGCTTTAAATACACAATCACTATCAATAGCATTGCAATAGAGTTGTTTTATTGTCACCGCTGCCTAGCAACTATTTATTATTATTTTTGCTGATTCCTCGAATTATTTATCCACATGACCTTAAAGTTGTAGTTGTGTTGACTATATCAGTGTGCAGTGCATTATCATTGAGGTGAATTAGTGGTAAATAATAGGGTATAGTGTGGGGTGGTGAATAATAGCGTTCGTACCACGGACTGAAATGGTTTTGAAGTTCTTGATCGTTTTAAGTCCTCGACCTCGTATCGAACTTAAAAACTACCTCGAACCAGCAAAACCTCATTTTGGCCCTAGGCACGAAATATACTACCTATTAAGTTTAGGCCTAGTAATATTTTTGAGACTGAATATTTTACACTTATTTAAAAAGGACCAAACTCAGAAGTGGATTATAAAGGGCAATTTAGAAAATATCTCAAGCTTTTTGACATAACTTCAAGTACTTTCTCCCCTACAATTTAATATGGTAAAAGAGTTGTTTATGTAAAAACCCTGATCCCAAAAAAGTGGTTTTCGAAGTGATGTGTGTGTCTGTCTGTATGTGTGTATGTATGGTATAGAGCTACAGTATTTTAGGTACTAATCCATGGTCTCTCCAGATGGTTTTTTTTTTTCATTTTGGATTTTTAATAGTGATATTCCATAAAACCCTATAAAATAATGGATGAATAAAATTTTCTCAGAATTGGCCTGGACGATTTTGAATTAAAATTAACATGTTATACTATTTGACTATGACAAAAATTGTGTAGGCCTAAACCCTCTATGCCGTAAAAATTATGGTTCAAAAGTTATTGCAACTTTTGTGATTTTCCCTTTTAAAACCTATTAACTCATGGAAAATCGGATTAAAAAAAACTACATGGCCAATTTTGATTCAAATTGTGTGCATGTCAAAAATCCAACACATTTAAATTAAAACTAAACTAACAAATAGTTTGCTACTACAGTTTTAAAAGAAAATCGTCCATTTATATTGGGTTAAAAGTTTGATTCAAACGCTTAAATTCCCATAAATTTAAAGAAGTGTCGGGGGCACCCTTCCATCCCCGCATTTTAAACATAATTTTGGGTTAGCCCCCAGACCTTCTGGCATGGGTTAAACAACGATTTTTGGGGGGGATTTTGCGACGTGAGCTTTGGGGGGGATGGGCACCCCTGCTCGCAATAGTCTACCTAGCGGCCGCATCGGGAACTATCGAAAATTAAAGTATTTCCAGACTGACATTTTACAAAGGCATTGCGCTTCTTAAAGGGTACATTAATTGGTTTTACCATAGATCATAAAACATAGATTTCTCATCCTTATGGAACAGCTGAAGCCAATTTAAGTGTTAGTTCTGCCCAGTAGCTTGTAGAGGTCATGTTTTGTTTACAATTTATTTCTTGTTATTTCAGTAATTTAAAACTTTGTTTAGCCAAACAAAAAGACTAATCATAAACACTAACTCGTATCCTAGTTATATAACCAAACAGTAAAGCACAAATCATTAAATAAACCCTAAAATAATAGAAACACAATTTCGTCAACACTAGCGATCACTGTCACCGGACATGAACTATACAAGAAAAACAAGCTTCAAAATTTACAATGGGATGACAAGTCTACTTGTGTTGGTTAGTCTATGATTTTTGGTAGAAGGTATAACCTTTATAAACAATATTGTATTTTTCTTGTAAGATTGACATCATTAGTCTACTGTACCTATATGAAACAGTTAGTATTTCGATTTTGAATGTGTAATAACAATAACACACTATCCTTGGCATCTTAGAAAATTTCATTTAAAAAAAACTCAAAAGAGGTACCTATTTTTCTCATCGGAAAAATAAATTTGTGGTTTATCATCATTTATTTTTAGTCATAGTGTATTCTAAATACTAACTGTGTACATTATACTATATTCATTTAAAGTAAATTCAATAGATCTTTATACATTTTTGTTTTAGCTATTAAGGATATTTTCGGAATATTTGTGACATTTAAGATATTTTTTTACACTAATTAACACAAACATCTCTTTGGTTTTTGAAGCTATTCAGACTTATATTGTTTTACACACTGTTGTTACTACTTTGTTTTCAGTTTCTTCGTAGTGGCAGTAGTGCTATTGCTATTAGCCAGAGTTGTTTCGTCGACATCACCAAATCTGTTACTAGTAGTGATGGGAGAATCGAATACAGAATCGAATAGTATTCGAATACAGCCCGAGTATTCGTAGATTCGAATACTTCAGATTCGTACGAATACTTTTTTGTGAATACTCTTGACCTCAGATTTTGCAGGATTTCTTGAATCTAGAAAGCGAATTCGGGGGATTCAAAAATGTATTCAACACTTTTTCAACTACCGTACTGAATTCCCTTTTGAATATCTTACGAATCCGTAGCATTCGTAAGAGTATTTAATGTTTTTACTGCAGCATTTGTTTTAATCTATTCGTTTATAATTTTACCATTAGCCCTATAATTTACATAAGATTATTATTAATCGTTAACATTTAGAATATATTGGATATTTAAAATATTAGGTTACTACTGGTAGAGGGCAATTGAATAGCATTTATTATAACTACAACCGATTTATATAGTTACATGGCAAAATAACATGCATATCTGATGTAAATTATCCATACAAAATGAATAAGACATATTATTAAAGATATTAATTAGTTAATATAATAGAAAATAATACATTAATAAGACTCTAACTGACCATGAAATAATTATAAGTCAAAATAAATGTACCTTTTAAAAATCATATAATTTAAAATTACATTGAATAAATTATATTAATGAATTAATTACTGTAAAACGAAATAACAGTGGCCAAAAGAACGGTTGCATTATGAAAAAAGAATTACACACTCATTTTCCATGCTTTGCATACTCAAAGGTGTTCGAATACAAGTATTCGTAAAAGTATTCGAATACAGGGGAGGCTACGAATTCACTGTATTCGATTCTTTAAAGTATTCGATTCTCCCATCACTAGTTACTAGACGAGCCAGGAAAGGACATGGTGATCACACAAGAGCAGCACGATGGTATCTGGAAGGCTTTTGTCACGAAACCTTCAACATCAGAGTTAGAGTTGGCGTTGGCGTTACGATTCAACACTACGAGTTGACGAGTGATGTATTTCTGTTTGCAGCTCGACTTGTAGCCGAGTGGCAGAAGTTGAGAAGGTAGTTCATTACATTCATTCCCACTTTTTCTGAAACCAAGTTAAACAGCTCATTTACTATAGGATAGTTTAACCTTTTTAGCTACATGACTTGACATATTATGTGCTTTGTATAGCTGTGCTAATAATAAATGTTTTTATTTATAAAGCTGGATGTAAGCTCCAAAATTTTATGTTGGCCATCAAGAGTAACATAACACAAACTTTAAAATTTCAACTCTAAATATGAATATAACTCAACAACTCAACAAAATGGTTTAAAACTATACCTTAAATATGTTAAAAAAAGCTATGCTATTGTATATGCTATGTTATGTAAAAATGCTATGTATTAAAAATATGTTATTGTAGAACTTAGAACACCTTCAATAAAGCTTTGAGAATTGTGACAGACATTACGTTGGATCAATGAATGGCCTGCCAGGCAGGAATCGGCGCTAGAGATCGGAGATTCAAAGAGGATGGTGGGAGAGAGTCACTTATAATAAATAGTAAATTGGGGGATCGTTATGAGTTGCACCTCAAATCAAATAATTGGCTTTTATTTATGCTATTTACCAAAAACTTGCTTTTTAAGAATTTGGATTTTTGTGTTCTTGAAAATGCAATAAAATTGGCATCCATACAATTCAAATTAATCGTGCTTAAAAAAGTTCAAAGGGTTTTGTGAGGCTGCAAAACTAAATACAAATTCGGGAAAATTATTACAAACAAAATCTTGTATTCAAATTTCATAACTGTTAAAGTTTTAATGACAGTTTCTCATTAGTTACTTTTATTGTTGGGTGCCTTTTATTTCCACCAATCAGAAGTTTAATCGGTTCAACAATTTAACCCTGGGGAAACATCTGTAGCTTTTTGATGGTTTGTATCCAGCTGCTTTGATCATTGGGTTTATGGAAATGGTTCTGGCTATATGATCATCTAGCTTTACACATCGACAAAAATATCATCCAGTCTACTCACCCTTCCATAGTCATCTTTACCCAATATGAACCCTGGTCTATCCCTTCCATACAAATCTAATACTTTTAAGACTGCTGGCAAAAGATTTAGTGTGACCAAGTTGAAATCATTCAATTGAACAGCTCACAGTTATTTTTGGTTTTCCTACTTAAACATTTAAACTAACTTTTGTAAACTTACGTGCAACGTTCAATTCGTAACCCTTGTTTGTGCACGTTATCATTGACGATAATCTCAACTGTTCCGTCTGTGGAATTTCCTTTGTTAGGAAATATACTTTCAGCCTGTAAACATCAAACACAACTGTAATTTTGTTTAAATCAAAATACAAAATATTTTTGTTCAGATTTTAATGACGTGCTTGGAGGCACAGACAAGCTTGAATTGAAGTTCAGGTACAACTCAGGTCCTTTGTTTATATTTTTATTGCATATTAGTTTTGCAGCGGGCAAAACACTGACAAAAATTAGTATAAGACTTCTTCAGCCTACTCAGGCTCCTAAACATGTCTAGTAGGACATATTAGGATGAAATACCAGGTTTATTTTTGTATTTTTTGTCTGATGTCTATCTGTTGGTCAAGCATGCTAAAACTACTTGGCTGAGATTTAACACAAAGATAGATTATGGAACCTTACAATATGAAGGCTCTTTTTGCATTTTGCACAAGTACTTACATATGAGTTGCACAGTTCCTTTTCATTTTCTGGTCCAAATTTATTGTGAACTTCTTCTTCGCCAAGATCCTGAAAAGCCAACATAAAAGAGTTAAGTAACTTGTGTTTTCTAACAGCAATAGGAATATCGACAATTTTATTTGTGCTTTACAAAGAGAAGTGACAAGTAGGGTTTTGAACTAACAAAAAACTATTAAATATAAATTCTGCAGGTTTTAAAAGACACAATAAATATATACTGTTCTATTCACACCAGGAACGTTTTGCCTAATTTACAAATTTGGTTGTGTATAGTTTCTCAAATATGTGTTGGTATGCAATCTCTCACTTAAATATCTTTAACTTTTACGTCACACTCAAGACTCTTGTAAGCATAAAGGACCAACCACATTATTATCATCACTGACACTAACATGTTACTCATAAAATATCTATGATAGATAATAACTAGAGGTTGTCCAGTGGTTGAAAGCTCCACCAAAAAAATGTAATATACAGACTTCTGTATTTTCACCCATGCTGCAAATAAAACATGTGATTGGAATTTTTCAGCTTGTTTTTGATTTTCTTTTTATATTTCGTTGTTAGTTCGTTGCCAGCATGGCAACCCATAAGGACAATGCGATTTTTTTAAATTAATTTTTGTTCTTGGTTTTGAGCTTATTTTAATTTATAAAGGGATTCTGCACATCTACAGGAAAATATATCTAACAGTATGGGTAGATTTTCCCTACGATGTACAGGAGCTATAATAACAAATGTTTGCAAAAAACATACTTGCCTTTTAATATATAGGATGATCCCAGATTGATTTTTAATTCATGACATTTTCTGATTTAGCTAAGGTAAAAAATGTTTACTTATAGTGTGTTTATATTGTGTGTTCTATCAAACAAGCAAGCAACAAATGATTTCACTTTTTCACTCCATATCCAAGCCGTGTAACCTAATGAGGGTGGCCACGATACGTCTCAGCGGTGATAAGCGGCGCTAGTCAGCGCCACTCATAGTTTCAATTACGAACCGATTTCCGCGGAAACGCCGCTCGCCGCTCAGGAGAGTCATGCTTCAGTTGGAAAATGTCAGAGGAACAGCAGCAAACGTGCGAGCCTCCAGCAAAACTCAAGAAGACAGAGGTGAAGTTGAGTGATTCTCAAATAAGGAGTGTTGATGAGTGAGGTGCAGTTCAGGAAATGTTTGTGGAATAACCAGCACGGAGGTTTTAAAAACACTTCAGTTACCATATAGCTGTGGGACGAAGTTGGAGCTAAGTTTTTCTTTTGTCAGATATTTGCAATACGTCTTGCCATCTTCGACTACACTCACTCCTACAACGGGGGAAATTCTATGAGCGTTATAAATGTGACGCTTGTATCATAGCCACCACCACCACTTACGTACTCAGGTTACCGCTTACCCCTCGTATTGTTCCCGAGGCCTAAATAAATTTCAATTCCAAACAGATTTATTTACCTCTGTATACAAAAGATCCAGGAGCAGTTTTGGTTGTTTCTTCAGCTTTTTCTTGATCAAATCCCTGGAACAAGCTTAAGTTAGCATTTATACTATAACACCTGGTCTAAAATTACAATTTCTCTTTGGAACAATTATTTTTATGATTTTAATCATACATTTTCAATTAAATAAAAAGTATTCTGCGAGGGACAAACATAATGTTCTCTATTATTAAATAGCTAGCAGCTACCTGTGCCTTCTTTTTTTGCTTTCCCATTTTCATGAACTTAAATTTTTCAGGGATCTTATCTCCTAAAATGAGGGATTATAGAGGTCGCCTCAGGTAGTCCCGCGTCCATCGGCCAATGATTATAACAGTTTTGGTACCCTAATATCCAAAAATTGTGTTTTTGCATAGTTTTAGGTTTGAAAGCTAAGTAATTATTTAACACACAACCTTGGAGTAAAAATTTAGAACTTTTACCGGTTTGACGTCTGAGGCTCAGCCGTTGAGGTTAAGAAATCATGGTAGAATATTTGAGCGGAGAGGGAGAGGCTTGTTTGTTGTTGCGGTTACCAGCTACCACTCCACTACTACTACCCTAAGTGAGCTTGAGAAGCGCCATACTTACTCTGGATAGTCGTCCGCAGATTCACAAAACAAAGCACCATCAGGACACGGGGACGGTTCGGGGATTACGCCCAAAGTGTCTTCTGCTCCTCTGTTGTGAAGCTTGGACCCAGTTTCTAAGTCGGTGGGGAAGACAATTGGATCATGTCCTAGAATAAGTAAATGAATGAATATTATCTTAAGTCCCAAGATCCCACACTCTTACATTTTTGCCCTACAGTGACAAGGATGCTTGTCAATTACATGCCTGGACTGCTCACTTAGAGTGCAGATTAGTTTGTACTAGGTAATATGCAGTCTCTCATTTATTTACATTTTACAAAACAGTGAAACTTAAGATCGATAAGTTTTTACCTCTATTTCCTTTTGAACGTGTAACAGTGCTCTCAGATCTTGAAGTTCTGAAACCATTTATCAAATTATTGAAAAATAAAATTATCATTGGCAAATTACTTTAAGGGTTAGTTTTAGATATAAAACAAATACTTGTAGTAGGCTACATTAGGGACTTTAGAATAGGCAAACAAAAAGTCTCAATAGATATTACCGTACTGGATTATCAATATCAAGTAATTGATATTATTACTAAACTACGGATGATTCCTTTTGATTCCAAATACACGCATAAGTTTAAAAGTATGGTACACATTTAAGCGTATCTTTTCAAATTTAATCATATTTTTACTGTATAAACTCGCATCATCGTACCCTAGAATATTTAAACCTCCTACCTAAATTTTTAAAAATTATATCAAACTAAGCGGTAAAACTATGTTTTTATTCTAAAATTGATGATGGATGTATAATTAATTATTTATGCAACAGAACCACATTATTCAATCCCGCTTAACTATAATAATGGTTGTTTTACCTAGTCAGTTTTGAATTTAACTAAACTTTAATTTTGAGTGGATATAGAAAATATGAATAGCTCTCAATACTTAATTTTAGGCTTAATTATTATTTTAAAATCAAATTAATGTAGAATAGTTGACTATGAGTTTGAGTTGAGTTCTTATGTTCAAAATGTTCTTGAACTTACTCCACAGCTGCTGAGGAAACTGAGCCAAAAATCTGAAACAAAATTAAGAAGATATTTTTTTACGTCAGCCTATTCCATTGTACAAGTCCTAGAATATGTTACCATGAATCTCTTGGAAATTATAGTTATGGAAATGTTTTACATTAGACAAGTGATTGTAGGGAAGGATTCAGAAAGTGAGTGATTGACTTTTACAAGCACAACTTGGTGTGTTAACTTTACAAAATTCTTAATGTCATTTACAAAATTACCAAAGGTAATTTTAGGCTATAAACCCTGAGAAAAAACAAAACTTTATCAAATGTGATTTTATTTCTTATCCCAGTAGCAAGAACTACAAAATTGCATTATTTATTACCTCTTTTGATAGCCTTTGTTCTTGCTTCTAAAACCCACCAAGAACAGGCTATCAAACAAGGTAACGAATAATCCCAAACTTTATTGTAAACAGATTAAATGTACAATGATAAATAATAGCGTCTATTTTCCAGGCTACATAATAAATAGACGATTATTTAAATTCCTCTTTTATAAACAAGATTCCCTCTATTATTACAGTACATAAGTCTAATTTTTAAAATTGTATGGTTTTGCTACACAGGGATAAACCCCTAATAAGGCGTCGTATCACCTTATTATTTACCCCTTGTTTGGTTTGTCTTGGATAAAAGTAAACATCAGGTTCTTCAAAGTGCATTGCAATTACTACAATTTGATTCAGTTGGATGGAAATTCCAGATTTTCTGTTGTCCTTGGGTTGTTCTTGAATCATCCTTATTGAAGTCTCAGGCCTTCTGACATCATGCGTGGTTTTCCTGCTAAGTTCATGTAACTCAATACAATAACTGAGTTGCAATGACTTCTTCTGACTCTGATAGATTCAGTTTACAAGAGTTGTCATAAGGTGTCATGAGTACCCTTTGGACAAGCTTGACCTTTTGCCCCCTGTTTTATGTTCTGTTTTATTAATTGTACTAAAAAAATTCTGTTTTAAAAAAGTCTTTACCATTTCTTGCGATCATGGAAACATCTGGTCATTTACCACCAACACGAATTATGTGACATAACGGTGAGGAAAGATAACAAATGAAGATTTATTGGAGATTGTATTGCTTATATTATTAATAACTTAAATTTCCCAATCCCATAGAAAATACAGGTTCAATTCCCAGCCTTTTTTCCGCCGTTAAAATTTAAGAATTCTTAGTTTTCCTGGTTGGGTAGGCACCCTGGCACTAAGGCCATAAAAATGTTGATGGAAATAAATGAGTTTTCCTTTCAAATTGTCATCTTATCTCTGGCCGAGAACATATTTCTTAAGTTTAAAAACAAAACATAATAGGTACCGGTATGATTCTCATCTTTCAAAACCAAACTAATTCTTCTTTAACTCCAAATTCTTTACTCATATTCTGGGGAAAAAATGATAAATTTTGTGTTTAAAGGGGATAAAATGAGAAAAACCCATTTTTACCCCATAAACCCCCCGTTAAACCCCGTTCCTATGGTCCGATCGTGCTGGTTCGCGAACTCATTCAAGTTTATCTCGTCTTACACCTTCAAACCAATTTGATCAAAATCGGACAAAAATTATAGAGGAGGTATAACAACTATTTAGTAAATTATAAGCAAAATTCACTCACAAAGTCCATACAAAAGTTAATAAGCAGTAGGTTTAGGCAAAATGATGTACAATGTATATGGTGAAAACTGTTGAAAAGAAATAATTAGCAAAACTGCAAAATTAATAGTTTCATACAATTTGAAACAATAAATCTTGCTCCAAATTGTAGATTAGTAGTAATTTAACTTTTGAAGTAGCCCTTAGCATTGTTTGTATTATTGATGGTATTGGGTTGGAGTTTTGTTAGTGTGGCCTTGGTTGGATACAGACAGCCAGTTATAAGAATGGTCGTTAACACAATAAAGTTTTTATTTCTTGGAACTTTATCTTGACTTTGACCAAACGTGTTCAACAATCTTGCCGACCATTGATAAGTGTCTTATTTGTTGTCCCATACTCAGTATTATTTGCATTCTGGGCTTATTGGGAAGAGTGGTGGTATCAAAAAGCAAACAAATTAAATGAGTTTTTAGTGTTCTCAATCGCATCTAACATTATTGTTATTTGTATAAAATATCACAAAATTACTTCAACAACGCACATCTATGAGAATATTGCTCGTATAGTTAAAGTAAGTTTAAAGAGTTAAAGATAAAGTAATGCAGATGGGCTTTTTGTTGTTTTGAAACCCATGCAATTCAATTATCTATGCTAAATAGTTTTTATGGCCTGTATTGGCCAGAGCCTAGAGTTAAATGGCCTAACAGGATACGTTTTAAATGTTGCCCTAAAACTTTAAAATGAGCCCAGACTTTACATGTGTGGGAATACGTTTTACCGACTTATTAAAGCATTATGGTATAAACATTGATTTTGGAGGATGTATGCAGACTTATCTACCAATTTTGAGTGAAAATTTAAAAACGTACGTTTTCATGTCCCTGGCCTTTTACTTCGTAGATATTGGATTTGTAGTTTATTATTATGTGTTTTAATATTTTTTGGGACGGGGGCAACATGTTACACACATTTATTTGGTTTTAAATATGTTCTAGGTATTTTTTTCATATTTTTAAAGTCTCGAAATTCACGACCATGACGTGTCCCTAGGGTACATTTTCCAACTTTCACGCTGTTTTTAGACTAATTATTCATGCCGAAATATATAAAGCCATATTTTTATGTCATCAATGGTTATTAAACTTACAAAAAAGGAGCATATTATAATTTTATTGTCATTGTAAACTGACTACCATGACAAAATAAGTCTGTCCCTCGATTTGGCGTCACGACCATTTGGGAAAATTTTTCAACTTTGGAGCACGACAGTGGCAAGCCTGGCGTCGATGGAGTCAGTTGGTTTTAGAGACTAGTTCGGGGTGAACGTCAGGATTGTATTGCCGGTCGTTTCGAGTTGAAAGGAGGAATTACAAGATTAGTAAAGGAAAGATTGTGTTTTTTGTAATTTTGGTGTGTCCATGACCGTACGTAGTCATTCGACGAAGTAGACATGGTGTTAATTTTTGTTTATAAGATATTTCAATTGCTGGATTAACCTAGAAGTCCACTTTGTATCCTCGAACATGAGGTGCAGGGCTACCGCCAGAATAGTGCCAAATAACACGTAATTTCACGACCAAAGTTTCACGACCATCTCGGGTTTTTTCACGACCAATCCAGCCTTATGGATTATAGTGTGTTTGGTCGTGACAATAACTTTATTATAAATGTAAATTGAACAGTTTAGTTCAAGTAAAACACATAGTCCTATTATAACTAACAGTATAATTGAAGGATTGTTTAGAAAGATTTGGATTATTCTAGACAATTCACGACCGAACCGCTTGTCCCTGACCATCACGTTTATGATTTCTATCATAAAAATTTCAAAAATTAAAATATCGTCATATTTCAATGTTTTATACACAAAAGAAGCACACCTCTATACAAACTTAACGATTTTTCGGGTCTCAGGTAAGTTTTTTCGGAGATATACAAACTTAAAAAGATTTTATTGGTTTTTTTCTATTTTTTTAGTTTTTTTATTTTTTTCTAGAAAGACCAAATATACCAAAAGCTCAGTGACCTTTTTATTGTATAATGGTCATAAAAGTAAATTAGTTTATAGCAAAACATAGTTATAAAAATAATATTAACTATTTTTAATATTCATTTAAACGTCCGCTATGGTCGTGACAGGATTTTGTGTTTCTCCACTAAAGATGCTCTTTTAAAAAAAACTACCAAAGATATTGCGTTACCATGGACATTTTATGAAACTTCAAATGTTAATGAAATAAAAAGAATAATAAAAGTTTTGAAAAAAGGAAAAAAAAATTTGCTAAGTGCTTTTCCTGAAAACGTACGTTTTTAAATTTTCACTCTTTTACAGCCATAAAGTATTTTTGCATGTTGAATTAATTACATTGCTGTGCTACATCTCCAGTCCGTTAATTGTTGTCGATTCAACCTTTTTAGGGAAGATTATACTAAACGCATTTACTGTTAACTAACAGAGAAAAAACTATGGATTACCGCGGTACCTTAATTTTTTGGTCGCGATAATTTTTATTTGTTTAGTTTTAGTTGTTAGTCAATACATATTAAATAAGGAGGACAAATAACGTTTCAGAAAAATCCAACTCTGCCAAAAAGAGTCATCCGTGCGTCCTGACTTGAATAAAATCAGGCTTTCCCCAGGAAATCCTGGGGCTGTATGGAATACAAACATGTGATCACGAATCCTAAACAGCTGTTCTTCTCTGCGTCTAGAATCATTGCACAGTAGGACAAGTAAATTATCTTATCTCCTTACTAAAAATAAAAATAAAGATATACGGCACGCCTATTTACTCAAGTTAAAATCCTACAGCAGAACTCGTACACACACATTATTGTGACAGCTACGATTTAGGGGTCGTTGACGTTGAGTGAAGCTAGTGATGTTTTAGCCAAAGACTACAAAATAGAAATACCCATGTAATTATACTTATGGATGCTTCGCAAATTAACCTGAAATATTTTGTTCATACAGCGAGCTTGGTCAACACGTTTCTGTCTATGGATTATATGTAGAATTTTGGTATTCAAACTCTTTATCTAATATATAACTGTCTACAAACTCTTATTCATAAAAATATGCAAAGGTATGAATTGAGTGAGTTAGTTATATTTTATGCCTCGAGTTCAATCATCTAACAGTACGAGAGAAATCATACCTAATACTTTGCCCCCTTTGGATCCTTATCAACACCAGGGCTTAATTGGGCGATTGCCGTACGAAAAGGTTTAACACAAATTATCAATGATCGTCCAATAAAACATCTAGAATTAGGCTAAAATAGATTTTGTGTGTAAAACTATGGAAGATATTACTCACTGAACACAACAGGAAGATGAGTAAGCAAACCAACGCACGTCGGTACCCCATGATGTACCTCTGTAAGTGTGATGACTGATGACCGGCTACTATAGTACAGTACTGTGCACTTGGCACTGATGCGCCGCCGCGGCGGGTCAAGTCTATCTGACGACTTGACCATCTTCTTCTCTCTCACCCATCAAGGTCGGGGAATACCGTCTCTCTCACGCGGGGAAAATCTCAAATCTCTGACAAGTTTGTTACAGACCTTGAAACTACGATCCGTGTTTTGTATTCAAACGTGATCATCACATTTCAGTGGGTGATAAGCCCGGTGACGTTTTTGTGTGTGATGATATTATAGATGTGATGACGTTGGTGGGCGGTGAGCTCACAGACGTGATGACGTTTCAGCGGTTGATGAGCCCATATATATTTGATGAAGTTTCAGTGAGTGATGAGCCCACGGATATATGTGATGAAATTTCAGTGGGTGATGAGACCACAAATGTTCGATGACGTTTCAGTTTAGCGGTTCATTAGCCCAGATATGTGATGAAGTATCAGTGGTTGATGAGCCCACATATGTCATGAAGTTTCAGCGGTTGATGAGCCCACATATGTCATGAAGTTTCAGCGGTTGATGAGCCCACATATGTCATGAAGTTTCAGTGGGTGATGAGCCCACATATGTGATGAAGTTTTAGTGGGCGATGAGCCCACAGATGTGATGACATTTCAGTGGATGTGGAGCTCATTATTATTATTAAACATTATGCACAGTGCACAAAATGGTGTCAGTTATTGTTATAACTCAAACAACAAACTCCAAAACAGAGGATTTATTGTTTTTATCAATACATTTCATTTCAAGGATTAAAAAAAAACAAATAATTTATTCTAGTCTGTTAGTGTTAGTAAAACATAATTTCAAAAGTGTTTTTAATAAACTAAAATAAGCAATATTTTTATATTTTCAAGTAAGCTGTTTAAATATTTAACATCACTTTAAGGTGGGATTTCTCGTGAATCAATTATGTCTGTTGAACGCCAATTCATTATCTTTTCTGGTCAAAAAAATACTGTATTTATAAAAAGAGTTCAATTTTGGGAATCTTTCATACCTAATTTGATTTAATTAAGAGGGCTATTTGATAAATGTATTCTATAACAGTAAAAATTCCTATTTCTTTAGAGTGCTCTTTAGTGGAATCTTTTGGTTTATAGTTTTTTTACATCATGGGGATTGTTTTTTTCTGAAGTTCCAGAATGCTATGTAGATTAAAATTTAATTTGCCCCCATAAAGACTCAAGCCAAAACAAATGTGTGATTCAACTAAGGAATAATAGACTATTTTTAAGGTGTTTATTCTACGGTAAAACTGAACTTATTCTACTTATGTTATATTGACTTTTTTTACCTTGTTTACCTAAATTAGGCTATTTTGAGCACTTTTTACATTTAGCACTTTTACCGAATATACTCAATTTTGACATCTGCCTTAATGCATACACACCTAGGAAGTTACTTTTTTACAGACGTTTTCAACATGACTGTCCCAATTGAATTTTTTATTAATGCAATCCTAGAAATGTTACTGTTTTAACTTATTGTATCAATAAAAATATTAAACTCAACTGCATTTTTTTCTAGCAGAAGGAACATAGGATAAGTTTTTATTGGATTCGGTAGGCCTAATAACTTAATTATTGGATTTAATTTAAATATTGAATACATTTGGAAAGTTTAACAAAAGAAAAGACATCCACATCAGAATTTGAATTACCGGATATTTTTATATTGCAATCTCATTAGCAAACAAACAAACACTTTTGGGAAATTCTTTTAATGAGGGAAGCGGAAGGTCAGTCAAGTTAATTTTGCTGACCCCAATATTGACCCATTTGGGACCATCGATCTCTATTTACTATAGAGATCGATGTTTGGGATGCCATACTTTACAGTTTTTGTTGAGGAAATAGCCTATGAGTAATTAATTCGTTATGACTATTTTGATCAATTACAACATACTGCTGAAGGCCAGCAAGATGTGATTGAAACTTGAAACTGATACTTTAAACTAACTCAAAGTGTTATTGGGCATTACAGGGGCCAATAAAAAACTAATCAGTTTTAATTAATTTATTTCCGAGTTATATTTAAAATTACCATTATTTATTTGTGACCGATAATTGTGGTATTTAATTTAAGAATATTTAATCGTTTTACAAAAACTGTGGTATTAACGACAAATAAATTAATAGTTAAGTATCTTCCTCAAGTTCAGAGATTTGAATTTCGCGGGTGACCTATTATTACTCAGCGCAGCGCATGAGTCGTCTGTGTGGAATGACGTATCATAAAATCTCTGATTACCACACTAATTGAGATCTTGAAAGAAACTCTCTTGAACAGGTCAAGCTTATAAATATATTAACATTAATATTTATTATTTCTGTATTATATTTAACAATTTTTCTTTCTATCAGCCTGTGTGTAATGATTTATTACAGCTGAAAAGTTCAACAAAATTCGGTCGTTGACTCAAGTATTGGGTTTGCTGGTGTTGGTCTTTGGTGGCCATCTTGTATTTTCCAATCTGAAGTCTTTTTGATAGCGGTTTCATTGTCCAATTTAGAGGCAGTGTTAGTTAATTTATAACCAGATTATGGCTTTAAAACGAATTAATAAGGTGAGTCTAATGTTTGATTACCAGTTTACACATACAAATGTTATTTTTATTACTTTTATTTCGTCGAAACACATGGTTTGTTCTTGCTCCCAGGACCTTTGGTAGGATACAAGTTTGCATCGATGAATACATGGCAAACACATTTCCTTATTTCATATCTTAAATATTAGGTAAAAGTGAGATAATGTAAGCTTATTTATCGATATTTTGATTCCTTTTACTGTCTTAGGACTGAAAAGAACCTCTCTGTTACTGTTGAGCATTCTTAGCTTTCGGTTTTAATTGAGTAAGTTACACCTAAGCACTTTGAGGGCATTCCAGGAAGTAGATTTCTTCAAGTTAGTACCAGATCATGCCGTACTTGAAATATTTATTACTGTATAATTATAGTGCCAAATAAATAACAAACAACATGGAGACCAAAAACTTGGACTCAGAGAAGTGATGCTGATGACTTAACCTCAATAACTTACAACAGGCCTTAGGCCTACAGGCATCTAGGCCTATCATGAGTAAACTTAACGGCTGCACTTTACTTTAGGTCCTACACTCATTCGAATGAAAATATCAATTATTCGATTGTTTCATTCGATATGTCGTTTGGTTAGTAATCGGGTTGTTAACCTTACCTAACTAACCAAACGATATATCGAATGAAGCAATCGATTAATCGATATAGGCCTACCGATCGATATTTTCATTCGAATGAGTGTAGGACGTCAAGTAAAGTGCAGCCTGAAAATTTTCCAAAATATTTTATTGACCTAAAAAATTTTTTGAAACAAATGTTCCTTATGTTATATGTATAATATTGAAGCCCATGATTTTCCAAACAAAATGGTATATAGAACAGTATAATTAACATTGTTTTCAAGCTTCTCAGATCCGTTTTAATAAAACCTTGCAAATGAGCAAAAAATAGGCAGACATTAAGGCCAAAACAAGGGACACTCGGAGGGTTAATCGATATATCGATCGATATTTTTATTCGAATGAGTGTAGGACCTAAAGTAAAGTGCAGCCAACTTAACTTAGTAGTGGTACTAATTATTGTAGTGTAGGGTACCATGAGAAGCAAATCATTGGTTAAACTTAGGCCTAGGCCTAGCACCTAGCCTACCTATATTAACCTTAGGCCTATTAACATGAATTTTGGGGGTCTTAATTAGACTAGCCTAGGCCTATATGAGTAGCCTACGTTTCCCAGGTTATCGAGAATGGCAACTCATTAGCCTATAGCCTAGCCCATAACTTTCTGGGACTCTAACTTAGCTTTCCTCATGATTGTTGTTTTAATTAAATAATAGGCCTATGTAGGCTAAACTTAAGTGCTGCGGTGTTATGTGTCGACGCTTCGGGATTGACTGAATCAGATTGTATTGGTTATCATTGTTTTCACCAGATTCTTTGAGCTAGGTTGAGCTAGACTATCTTCCGATGTTTGTTTCTGGACGCTTTTCATTATCGTACCGATCATAATTATTGTAGCAGACAGATGACGTGCGTATTTGTAAACAACTTGGTTAACCTCGCATCGATGACTGATGTGTTTTGTTACGTTTAGACCTATTTCTTACATTATCACTGTTTTTAAAATAAACAGTTAGGCCTACAAGTTAAGTTAGCTTATTTTAAGTTAACTTAGTCGATCATTTTTGTTGCTATGAGATTGATGCACATGATTTTCCAAACAAAATTGAGGTTAGGCCCTATTTATGGTTTCTGAACTGGGCTATGCTAATATTGATTGAAACTATCATATCGATCAGTAGACCTTCATGCGATTTTTTCATTATCAGCAAGTTTGGTTAGTTAACTTAGGTTAGGTTATGACAGTTTCATTATAATAGATCCTATATTTAAAAATTTTGATAAAGTTATTAAATTCAATCAAAGTCAAAGTCCTTTATTCAGCCAGATTAACAATAAGTTATATTGCATTGGCCAAGTCAAGAGATTACATTTACAGTAGACTCCCTCTTATCCGGACACCTTTTAACCGGACTACACTCGACGGAAATGACATCTCTTTAACCGGACTATTTTTATCAGCACATTGGTTTAACCGGACTAGATCGGCAGGAAGTGGGCGGTACTGTAACGACTGTTCTCGTGGGAAAGATTTGAGGCCAGTGATGACATGTCTAAATACAATGCTCTCCTAAATTTAAGTCGAATATCACCGTAAACGGTCCAATTTAATGAGTTCTTGGGGACGTCGGCTTAACCGGAAAAACCGTTATCCAGACTGGCCTCGGTCCCGAGGAGTCCGGATAAGAGGGAGTCTACTGTATTATGAAATTAATTAACTAGGTACTAAATACATTAGCCTATATATCCTCGAATTTGAGCAACAGGTACACTACCTAATTCAAGGGACATTACAAACCTTTACGTCCACAGTTCAATAGAGTAGGTATGGTTTAACTCACTACATGTTTTACCTATACATAGGCATTGTCAAGTGGTCCTTCAAGAACGTTTGATCCATTGTAGACTCTTCAAGAAATTCAAATAAACACATAGGTATAAAACAACACATTTTACGATAATAATTTAACAATTAGTAGGCCTTCTGTTAACCGGTGTCAGTACAGAGTCTATGCCTCCCGAGTCTGCCTCCGTACCGTGACCGGTTTAGTAGGCCTAAAATTGTTAAATGTTTAATCGTACAATGTGTCCGTCTTATATGTTAATTTATTTGAATCAACTTGACGAGTCTAATGAATGATATGTTCTTGACAATTCCTATGTTTAGGCAAACGTGTAGTGAATTTGACCATACTCTATTGAACTGTGACCGGTAATAATAATAGTCAAAATACTAGGGTTAAATAAAGATCGGCTTGGGTTTAATAGGCTAGACAGGTAGTAGGCTACTGTTACCTGTTCAAGATTCAAGGCAGTAATTAAGGACTGGTTGATGGAAAACCCTTTTTATGACCTGACTGAATTTTATAAAGTAGGACTACCAGTTTTGTTATATAGGTAATGCTCATGCACTGACTGCCTTAAATGGCTACTTTCTTGCCTGTTTTTTTTTTTTTTTTTTTTTTTGCATGGTTTTGCTACAGTTTTGTTTTGCATGGTTTTATTTGTTTCCTTATTATTATATTTATCTAACTTGCATTTATTTGTGAATCAAGAGGATGGACTATTTATTATTTACTTTGTATTGTAAGTGACTTAGCCTATTGCTTTTGCTTGGTGGCCAAATAAATCATTGAATCATTGATACCCCCACCTCACCTAAAACGTGAAAAATAAAACGCTTTTAACTATTCTACATTTATGACCTCAAATACAAACTGTCTTAAATTACTTTTTGGTGCTGAGACCTCCTTTTATTACTAAATTAAATAGGCTATAGGCTATTCAAACAATCTTAACCCCAACTCACTAGTGGATGCAGGAGAATTTGAGGTTTTGGGTTGGGGAGAGGTTTAATCATCAAGAGATATAAGGGAAATTAGAGGGGTGAAAAGGTAATTAATGCGTAATAATTAGCCGGTGAAAATGGATAATCTTCCGACAGGTATGAAAGATCTCCCTGGAATATGGGATAATATTCCCCAGAAAAGAGAAATTTAGTCAATACAACCCTAAACATTTGTCTTTGTAGTAACTGCTGTAGTGCTGTGTCGCATGATATGTTGGAGCCTCTCCTATTAGTCTGTGATGGTGTCATACACTGATGTGGGGCTAAGATTGGAAGTAACAATCAATAACTGAATGCAAAGGCGTTAAAAGTACAAAGGTTACAAAATATCCAAATCCAACTTATCTTTAAAACATCAGATGAGCATTGATCTTATTTAAAGGCATGTGAGGAAGGCAGGTCTTAGGTTGGATTAGGAATGTTTTTAAGTGTACGTTGTAGTTATTTTTGTTTATTAATGTTGAAGCCTTCCGGAATTGGTAATCAATTATATCAGGTTACGTACCTTGACGTCCACAATTCCTCAATCGAACTTCCGTTGACTAGTCTAACTACTAAGTAGTCATTTTCAAAACGAACGTAAACAAACGTTCAATGAATGAAATATTTTAACGTTCCCTTTTGAAAATGACTACTTAGTAGTCGAAACTAGTCAACGGAAGTTTGACTGAGGAATTGTGGACGTCAAGGTACGTAGGTAACCTGTTGTACCATATTGTATTTAAAGCTATTGGAACATTGAGTTAAACAACGAGGTTACGATTTCCACAAATGTGTGTATAGTAAACAATCCGGTTAACTATAACCTACACTTAACCTTCCTAGTCTAACCTACATATGCAAAGGACTTAGGCCCTAATACAGTCACGAATCCATATAAAAAGCCCAGCAAGCCTTCACCACATGCTTTTTATTTGTCAAACTGAATTTAGAAATATAACAGCAAGTTTGGTTAGTTTAGAACAGTTCTAATTTATAATCAATACTTAAACTACATGTTTAAGCTTGATGTTAATGATTTCTAACACCTACATGGTGAAAACTAAAGCTTAATACTTTGCTTAAAACCGGGAAATTGCGGGATATACAGTGGGATTAGGCCTAGGCCTACAAGGGATTTTAGGGGAAGTGAGGGTGATTCTAGGTGTTAAAACGTGGTACAGTGACTTGTTGTTGCATTGCTATTGGTTGTGGTGATGTCATTGTGAAGCATTCTGGTTGGCTTGTAGTGTCTTTGTGAGTTCTCTGTCTAGAACCTTTCCTCCCTAATTTAGTTTGGTGTCGTAAAAATGGCGGACAAACTGTAGAGCAAATCGAGTGTGATATTTCTTTGTGATGTTCTTTTTATCGAATGCATGCAGAGGTCCTGTTTGGACATAATATCATTCCTTGTAACACACGGGTTGCTTGGAGGTGAAAGTGTTTTAAGTTGATGTGGGAATATGTGTTTGTTCAACGCAAGGAATCTTTTTTTTTCCTTTGTTGGCAAATTGCATTTGGCAAACTAGAGCAGACTCATATAATGACTTCATACAAACCTTGTAGAAGTTGGTTCTTTGTTTGGTTCGGACCACAGTAAATTATCTTTCTATCAAATATTTTTGTTGTGAGTAGTGTTGTTTTTATAGGATTTTAGATGTTATAACTGTACTAAATATACCTGGAATGGGTTAGCCTTATGTGTAAAAATGTTGTATTTTGAGGTTTTGGATTAAGTCGGGTTATGTAGGCCTAAGGTTTGGTTAGGTTCCAGTCATTAACTTAGTTTCATACTTTCACACTTTAGGAAGTGTGTTCATGGTGAGTTGGTTGTCGTCGTAATTATGTTATTTTAAAATTATGTCTGTATGGACACTAAATGTAGGCCTATTTCTTAGAATAATGGACAGTCGTTTTCTGAACGTTATCACGGTGTGAGGTTCTAACTTAGTTGTCCTCTAATTCAAACATTCTGTTGGCTAAGTCCGTCCAACTACCTCTACCACACCGGACTGCTCCTGTTGCCAAGCTAGCTATTGAATTATTAGTATTTTCATGATTTCAGTTAATCTGGGTTTTGGTTTAACGACGTGTGTTTAAAGTTGTGGTCTTATTGTATCTTACAATACTGAGTAAACAGAGCTCCAGAGCTGCCAGCAAACTCGTGTAATTATGTAGGTAAAGGGTGGACAAAAAAAAACAGGGACAATTTTAAAATGTTATTACTCAGCTGTTATAAAGGCTGGAGATTTCATTGATACGACAAAAGAAAGTTTATTTGATGCCATTTAGTGTATGGTTACTATGGATCATCAATGGTTACCACAACATCGTGCCTTTGTCATAGAGACTTTTTTGAAGAATAATTTGACTTTCATTTCTACTCAACGTCAATTTTGTTTTCACCTGAACATTGGCCGTAATAGTGCAACCCCAAAGCGAAAAACTATTTAAAGATGTGTAAGTAATTTCCAGAACACGTCTTCTGCAAGTCAAACCTAGTGGGATACCTCGGACTGTTCGAACGCGGGAAAACATTGAAATGGTTCGCGTGAGTGTCCTGCGTCGAGCGTCCAAAGCCAACCGTTTGAAAAACATTGCATTGACATTTAAATTTGCATAGGTTTAATTTTGAGTACAAAAGCCGTGTTTAGGACATTGTTTACCCATCTTTGAGTAGTTTATTCGGTTTGGGGCTGCACCATTACGGCCAAAGTTGAAGTGAACACGAAATTGACGTTGAGTAGAAATGAAAGTCAAATTATTCTTTAAAAAAGTCTCTATGACAAAGGCACGATGTTGTGGTAACCATTGATGATCCATAGTAACTATACACTAAATGGCATCAAATAAACTTTCTTTTGCCGCATCAATGAACTCTCCAGCCTTTATAACAGCTGAGTAATAACATTTGAAAATTGTCCCTGTTTTTTTGTCCACCCTTTACCTTGTTTATAATTCGTGGCTGCTGTGAACAAAATCACTTTCTTAAAATTACCTTAGCTTTTTATATTCTTATATGTATTTCTTAAAATCAGCTTATATTCTTACAAATATGAATTTTGAATATTCAAACTACCTAAGATAGCCTAGCCTAATTCAAGTTAGAATAAAAATGCCTAGACATTACAAGACCACTTTTCAAATGAATCCATTATATGGTCTGATTTTCTAGGGTGTTGTTGAATATAATTGTTAAAATAACATCCTTTTTATAAAAAATATGTTGTGAACAATTATTTATTTATTCTCTGCCTGTAAGCCTGTAGTAAGTTCATATAAAATTTGAAAAAAAAACACCAATATTTTTAGTTATTATTATTTAACAAAATATCTTTTGTTGGAAACCATTGATTGGTGACAACACTTATATTGCTTGATAGTGAAAGTTTTAAATCAAGTTCAATGCATTTAGAAAGCCCCATTGAATTTTGGGTACAAATTAAATACCATGTTTCCAGTATTCCAACCATTGAACCAATTTGCTCAATTACCCTAGTGTCTCTAATAATAGCAGATTGGCCTCCTTTACTCCCTCACAAGTCCACAAGGTATAATAACTTGGCTCCCATGACCATCTGCCAACTTGGTCTGGTCTGTCTCAGTTAAACTCCTAGTTTAAATTATGTACATATTATAAAGACGTGGTCCGGTCTAAACGTATTTTAAATTGGGTTATTTACAACATTTGTCATCATTGAACTTTGAAGTGTTTGTGTGGCGTTTATTAATTTGGGCTACTTATAATAACTACATTTTAAATCTTCATATTTATATCATAAAGCTGCAATTTCGACCCACCATGCGGAATGGCATACATTAGCATTGTCTCGGGGCAAGTGTGTTGGACACACAGCTGGCTTGTGCCAATAGACTCATGCCGATTCCAAACTGCCAAGTAAAAGGAAAAAGACCTCCAGATAAAAGGAAGTGGTACGGCCGCCATCGGCAGAGGGGCGCTGCTTTAGAATTCTGACGCATTTTATTTTGATCTAGGCTATGAAATGAAAGGCTCAATTTTGTAAGCATATCGATTTATTTGGTTGTAAATATTTGTTATTTAAAGTTTTTTTTTTATTTTTAGGCCTAAATACAAATTTACTGTAGTAAATCACAAAACCAATTTTAGTGTTTTATGTATTTTCCCAAACATGGAAGTTACCTCTGCATGCACCCGATGGCTATTTATGTGTCATTGCATGCAACAAAATGTTGATTAATAAAATGTCTGTGTGACCAGTGATATAATTTATTTATTTTCGTTATTATTAATTAAATAGATGTTGTTCCAGGAACTGCAAGACCTGGGTCGTGACCCTCCCGCACAGTGTTCTGCTGGCCCTGTCGGAGATGACCGTGAGTACAGTTTATTAAAAACTCCCTCGTAGTAAGTATTTTTAAAACCTAATTACAATATTTCAAGGTTCAAGCTGCATTATGCCCAAGAGTAGCTGGAAGCATTGACTTTTGTGTAGGCAGGCATCCTATCTAGATGGACCAGCTGTAGCAGATTTTTCATTAAAATGGAACATATGCCCTACTAGAATAAGTGTGCTACCATCTAAATTTTATATTTTCACTCACTATTCTAGTTCTAGGCCTACAGCTTTTTATACGTGTTATGAATCAATTTTGATATTTTGTTTATACAACAAGATAACGACACAGTAAAAAATAGGCATAATTTAATCATTGAATATTCATGGAGTTGGAAGGATTATTAATTTTTGGTGTAACCTGTGGTTTGGATTAATTTTGTGCCATAATACAATATATTATGGCAACAAAATATTTCAGATAAAATTTTAAATTAAAAAGTTCACACGAACAAGCTGAAGTTTATAAAACCAAGATTATAATCATATAATAGGTGATTACTGTACTGCAGTTAATGACATGTGTTTCAGTAGTTCAGAGCTTGTTCATAACTTTACAAACCTTTTGTTATCCTTAACTTTAAAATTGATTAGGTTATCGTCTAATCTTGCTCAATCTTTTTCAGTATTTCACTGGCAAGCAACAATTATGGGACCTGTAAGTATGAATTTTAATACACAAGTGGTGATGGTAAATTAAGATCTGAATAGTTTTATCACACCTTGATCCTTGTCGGTCACTTAGATACTTTTAACCAGATCATCCGCCATAACACACCTTGCACCATTGTTTTAAAGCGGGGTTTTCCTAAGTGTGAGTCACAGCTCTTAACTTGAAAGTCATCAACTAACTGGATGGTATTTTCCTAGACGTGGAGAGCAGAACCATTGCATAGGCCATTACATAATGATAGTGATAAGGTGATGTTGTGGATGCAAAAATATACTTCCTTTTTTATTACACTTGAAAGATACCATACACTTACACACAACTGTACACTACACCACACTGCGTATGGCCATTCACTTGTATGGTTCAGAGATATGGACACTAACAAATCAGATCCAGAAGAAGCTTTGAAAATACAGTAGGTTGCCTATACCAGATTTTACGCTATATGATAATGACTATGTTTAACTTGTTATGTGTTCAGTGGCGGTTCAAGGTCCTTGTCGAGAGGGGGGGGGGGGGAGAGGACTTAATGGGGGTCCTTCCCCAGAAAATTTGCTATTTTTAAAGCCATTTGGTGGCTTTAATGACATTTTTTTTAACGTCTAGAACTGTGTCCAAAATAAACCCCTTTATGTTTTTATGACAACAAATGTATTTTTAAATTTATATTTCCAGGTTCCAAGAGGGGGGCTTTGGCCCCCCTCATAACCCCCCCCCCCCACTTAGGAACCGCTACTGAATGCCTAATATCCCCTTTGGCTCAGCAAACAGTGACTGACTGGCCAATTGCACAACTGATATCTCTTATCTACACACAGTACTTCATATAATCTGTTCATGTTAGGCTACTAACAGTAACTTATCTTATTGACCTTTGTTTCCAGAGCTTTAACAAACAAATATTTTCCTTCTGGCCTTGACATATTATTGTTTTGTCAAATATTTTAAATTTACTCCAGCTTTACTTTTGGTAATGTAAAGACTTGCATTCATTGGTTTTAACTAAGTTACCTTATGATTGATTGTTTACATTTTATTTTAGGTTATCATAGGATGTTGAGCAGTTCACATACATATTGGTTGAAGGACTGTGTTTACAATAATAATATTACTTTATTTTCAATTGTCCACTCAAGTTTCCAGTATTAAGGTGTACCTAATCATAACAACTAGCTAAGGACGCCACACTTCTTTGTAATGTATTTTAACATTTAATTGTTTTTTCCAGCCTGACAGTCCTTATCAGGGAGGAGTTTTCTTTTTAACCATCCACTTCCCTACAGACTATCCATTTAAACCTCCAAAGGTACGTACTGGGATTTGTTTTATCTGTACGGTAATGTTTATTTAAGATTAAAATACAGTAAATGTTTGTTATTTCCTATTTTCATAGATCAAGTAGGCTACTGCACAACATTGAGAAATGGACTCCACACAGTCCTAGAGATTCACTCAAACTAGATTCTCAGGAAATGCACAACTACTGTCTTACATTTTCAGCTCTATTTTATTTAACGTAGGTTAAACACTTAAAAGGCTAAATATTTACATTGCTGGGGGTTTTTTGATAGCCAAACAATTTTTGTGTCGTCGATTGAAGCTCAGCGTTCTGTTTTTGCTGAAACTACAATATCTCAAGCTGTTAACGTAATATTGTTGATTTTCGGTACTGCAAGTAAGTTCTTTAAACTATTCTAAAACCTAAAGCCTGTTTTGATGTTTGTTTAGTTATCAGTTGAGTTTAAATGTTTGAGTGTGGATTTGATGATTTTCTCTTATTTAAGCGCTAATTTCGCAGCAAGCCTTTTACTCTTTGCTTACAATACCATTTTTCGACAAGCAATAGTTAAAAATCTTTTTATTTGGTTAAAAGATTTTTAAACTGTGAAATAACAAGAAGGAAATTTATATTTAAAGTTCTATGTCTTGTGTATGACATTTGTAACATAACAATGATGTTGATTGAGGTAATGTAAAACATTATTTGTCTTAATGGTTTATTTATGTTAATGTTTACATACTTTGTGTTGTACAACAGTTTGTTATATCTGATGTCCTAATAACAAAATTTAACAAAACTTATCTGTATATTTCCAGGTGGCGTTCACAACTAGAATTTATCACCCAAACATAAATAGCAATGGTAGCATTTGTCTGGACATACTGAGATCTCAGTGGTCACCAGCGTTAACAATATCAAAAGGTATGTGATTACAGTACAACTCCACAAACTCTGGGTCAGTTTACTTTTATCTATTGTACCCCATTTATTGTACACCCATAATATTTCAAGAAATTAAATTTAAATCATAGCCTACTGTTTAAAATTAAATTGGTAATGTTTAAAGGTTGATGTACCAAGGGTCATAGAACTAACCGTAAAATAATAGAAACAAAATTACGCCAAAATGAACGCCCAGTGTCACCAACATGAACTAGACATGAAAATAAATGTTGAATTAACAATGTGGTATTTAAGAAGTCAACTTGAGTTATGGTTAATCTATGTTAGTACTGCATCTATAGGGCTCGCCACCCTAAGTTGAGGCAGCCCAGACGGACGGGCAGGGTCATTATCGGCCGGTCCCGCCCGACCCTTTATAATCCGATTAGTGACACTTCCGTGAACGCTCTAGTTCCATAATTGTCATTAACAAAGTTAAAAACGGATGTATAAATTTAGTCTTTTACATTAATAACGTCGATTTAACAAACATTTTGGTTTTTGTCCCATCAAAATCGGACAATGTTTACGGTTTGTGAGCTATAAACAAAAAACAAAGTAGTGTAGATCCCAAAATCCATAAACCGTAAACATTGTCCGATTTTGATGGGACAAAAACAGAAATGTTTGTTAAATCGACGTTATTAATGTAAAAGACTAAATTTATACATCGGAGATTTTAACTTTGTTAATGACAATTATGGAACTAGAGCGTTCACAGAGGTGTCACTAATCGGATTATAAAGGGTCGGTCGGGACCGGCCGATAATGACCCTGCCCGTCCGTCTGGGCTGCCTCAACTTAGGGTGGCGAGACCTATAGATTACATTTGCAAAGCAAAACAGCAATATTCCGGCCAACCATATCGATCCTTAGGTCTGAGTTGAGGAGAAAATGACAGCATTAATGGTGCTTTAGAGGGTTGTGAACTTTTATAAAACCTATTGCAAACTAAGATTAATATTTTTTTGAGTTAATTTTAAAGATAGACTAAATGTATTTTTTATATTCAATATACAAAGTATTATTGAGCGGAGCAAGCAAAGCTCTTATACGTCGACTCTTAGGCTATGCATTTCGTAATATGCAAACTCCTCCTAGGCGGCTGAATCAATCGTTTTCAAATTTGGATGGTGATAAAGACTAAATTGGTGAGTGCCAACATCGTCACGGACCGGTTTCCCTCCATAGCATTTTAGGATTGTAGATACCTTAATCTAATCGTCATTAACAGTTCCCACAGTCCGGTCTGCTTGCATTTACTACTTCCTTCACCACTTCCTACGTCACGGACCTGTTTCTCTCCCTTCCCCATAGCATCTTAGGATTGTAAAATACCTTAATCTAATTGTGATAAACAGATACCACACTCCGAAAACAGCTAACATATACTACATCCTTCACCACTTCCTACGTCACGGACCTGTTTCCCTCCCTTTCCATAGCATTTTAGGATTGCAGATACCTTAATCTAATTGTCATAAACAGTTCCCACACTCCAGACAACTCACCTTGACTACTTCCTTCACCACTTCCTACATCGCGGACCTGTTTTCCTCCCTTCCCATAGCATTTTAGGATTGTAGATACCTTAATCTAATTGTCATTAACAGTTTCCACACTCCGGACAGCTCGCCTTGACTACTTCCTTCACCACTTCCTATGTCGCGGATCTGTTTTACTCCCTTCCCATAGCATTTTAGGATTGCAGATACCTTAATCTAATTGTCACAAACAGTTCCCACGGTCCGGACTGCTTGCCTTTACTACTTCCTTCACCACTTCCTACGTCACGGACCTGTTTCCCTCCCCTCCCATAGCATCATAGGATTGCAAATACCTTAGTCTAATGGTCATAAACAGATACCACTCTCCGAACAGCTCGCATTTACTACTTCCTACGTCGCGGACCTGTTTTCTTCCCTTCCAATAGCATTTTAGGATTGCAGATACCTTAATCTAATTGTCATAAACAGTTCCCACACTCCGGGCAGCTCGCCTTGACTACTTCCTTCACCATTTCCTACGTCGCGGATCTGTTTTACTCCCTTCCCATAGCATTTTAGGATTGCAGATACCTTAATCTAATCGTCACAAACAGTTTCCATGGTCCGGACTGCTTGCCTTTACTACTTCCTTCACCACTTCCTACGTCACGGACCTGTTTCCCTCCCCTCCCATTCCCATAGCATCATAGGATTGCAAATACCTTAGTCTAATGGTCATAAACAGATACCACTCTCCGAACAGCTCGCATTTACTACTTCCTACGTCGCGGACCTGTTTTCTTCCCTTCCAATAGCATTTTAGGATTGCAGATACCTTAATCTAATTGTCATAAACAGTTCCCACACTCCGGGCAGCTCGCCTTGACTACTTCCTTCACCATTTCCTACGTCGCGGACCTGTTTTCCTCCCTTCTAATAGCATTTTAGGATTGCAGATACCTTAATCTAATTGTCATAAACAGTTCCCACACTCCGGACTACTCGCCTTGACTACTTCCTTCACCACTTCCTACGTCACGGACCTGTTTCCCTCCCCTCCCATAGCATCATAGGATTGCAAATACCTTAGTCTAATGGTCATAAACAGATACCACTCTCCGAACAGCTCGCATTTACTACTTCCTACGTCGCGGACCTGTTTTCTTCCCTTCAAATAGCATTTTAGGATTGCAGATACCTTAATCTAATTGTCATAAACAGTTCCCACACTCCGGGCAGCTCGCCTTGACTACTTCCTTCACCATTTCCTACGTCGCGGACCTGTTTTCCTCCCTTCTAATAGAATTTTAGGAATGCAGATACCTTAATCTAATCGTCATAAACAGTTTCCACCCTCCAGACTGCTCACATTTACTACTTCCTTCACCACTTCCTACGTCACAGACCTCAAGCTAGTGTCGTCATTTGATTATATTTATGATCCATACCGTTTCTGTTGTAATATTAGGCCCCTGAATATGTGGTTTGACCTAGAAATAATTAGAACACAGATGAAACCATTGTTGTTCGAAAGTGAAAAGTATTGTGAATAACATATCAAGAGTCTCCAAAAATATCTTTGGTGGAACACCACCATTTTTCCAAAATGGCGGCCGAATCCAGTAGTTTTTTGCTTTTTATTGAAATTCTGACTTTCCAGTCAATATTGGTGAAAAGTCGTCAATACATTTAATGTTCCTCCTGAAATTACCTTTAAAATGATACCAAATACATGTACCTACAACAAAAAATAAACCCCGTAGAAATAATAAAATATTTCAAATAAAAATATTTGTTATAAATTAATGTAATAGTCCAAGCAAACTAAAAAAAAAGACACAGGGGTCGTATAAAAATTTGCAAGTAAACATTTTATGGTTTTATTTTCATTGTTGTGGTGTGCAGAATGACATACCAAAAGTTGCAAAAATCAGTCCACGGGAAACCCCTAAATTAAGGAAAAAATGGCGGCTTTTCCCAATATTGGACAAATTTTGCAACAAAAGATACCACATTTTTTTTGCACATTTTACGAGATATTGACTTGGAACCACGTACGAAATTTATTGGATGGTCCGTACTTAATTTCAATAGGGAATGCTTTTTGGGCCGCCATCTTGGATCAGCCATATTGGATCTGCCATATTGGATCTGCCATATTGGATATAAATATTTTTTAATGTAATTATAGTGTTGTGACACATCATTATGAACTAGATTTCCACGCTGATTTCAATGCTGAAATCCGTTTTTAAATAAGTTTTTTCGTTGCATAAGATATATTAAAACGAAATCTCTCCCCTATACATCAGTTATAGACGTATCGTAAGTTACTTTGAAAATGCGTTTGGATTATTTTTCTCCAGGTATTATTATTGCTTGCAGTTCGTTCTAGCCTTAAAATATTCAGTGATAAACGATCTTTCTTCTTAGTTAGCTTTCATTTTGTTTTATTTATAGTTAAAACAGACTAGTTATAGACAAGGTACAAACCCCAACACAAAATTAAATTAAACTTTTTTTATCAGTTTTTGTTAAAAGATTTATATCTCGGTTTGTTAATATGTTAACAAGTTCATTCTGGTATCAAAGTACTCAGTAAATGTTTGGCTTTAATTTTATTAATTATTAAATGACACATGACAAATTTAAAACGAATCATGTAGGCCTACCTTCAATGAACTATTGAATGAATTATTGTTATTTTGAAATTTGTCTTTAGTTAAAGACATTTATCCCCAATTCTAAATAACTCCCAATAAGGAATCCATAGCTAAAATAAAAGTCAATACTTGAACGAATAGCTATGACGAGTTTTTCCCGTTTTCACTCTGCACAACACTACAAAATAAAACCATAAAACGTTTTGTTGAAATTTTTTAAAGGCCATATCTTATATTTATCTAAATATAATTTCCAAGTTACACAGTTACAGTTATTTATAAGTAAGTTAGTCATATGTACCATCAGTCAAACACCACTCCCAATCTGTTGGATCTGCTGGTGAACTATTTCCACGCCATACTTGAACCTGATAGTACAACCTTAGACTGTGGTAGTTTTCAATGTGTTTTTAAATTGTCAAAGTACGAAACGTCCATAAGAAATGTATGGGGAGAGTTTTCGTTTTTATATATCTTAAAATTGTAAAACGCTATTTCAAAAACTGATTTCAGCATTGAAATCAGCGTGGAAATCTAGTTCATAATGATGTGTCACAACACTATAATTACATTAAAAATATTTATATCCAATATTGCAGATCCAATATGGCTGATCCAAGATGGCGGCCCAAAAAGCGTCCCCTATTGAAATTAAGTACGGACTATCCAATAAATATCGGTCGTGGTTCCAAGTCAATATCTCGAAAAATGTGCAAAAAAACATGTGGTATCTTTTGTTGCAAAATTTGTCCAATATTGGGAAAAGCCGACATTTTTTCCTTAATTTAGGGGTTTCCCGTGGACTGATTTTTTGCAATTTTGGTATGTCACTCTGCACACCACAACAATAAAAATAAAACCATAGAATGTTTACTTGCAAATTTTTATACGATCCCTGTGTACGTTATTTTTAGTTTGCTTGGACTAATTACATTAATTTATAACAAATATTTTTATTTGAAATATTTTATTATTTCTACGGGGTTTATTTTTTGTTGTAGGTACATGTATTTGGTATCATTTTAAAGGTAATTTCAGGAGGAACATAAAATGTATTGACGACTTTTCACCAATATTGACTGGAAAGTCAGAATCTCAATAAAAAGCAAAAAACTACTGGATTTGGCCGCCATTTTGGAAAAATGGTGGTGTTCCACCAAAGATATTTTTGGAGACTTTTGATATGTTATTCACAATACTCTTCACTATCGAACAACAATGGTTTCATCTGTGTTCTAATTATTTCTAGGTTTTGCTATTTATTTTCTTATTTTAAGGCGCCTATATCTGTGGAATGATGCTATCAGCTATTTCTTTATCTACTGCATTCAAAAGTCAACAGCTGATCATATGTCTTTGTTTATGTGTCAAATACTGCTTCCATAAGGATTACATTGAAACTTTGAGACCCAGTGGTTGATTTTTATAACATTATGTCAATTTTCGAACCGAGCAGAGCCTGGCCTACAGGCTTGAGGGATCAAGCTCAAAGTAAGAAAATCAAGCTCGAGCCTATTTTCTCAATACTCAATACAATAATGCCCAATAAAAAGTAAAAGCTTTTATGTCAGCAAGGATCACGCTCACGAAATTGGAAGATTAGGCCTACGCTTTTGCCGTGATCACGGATATCGACGAGAACATTTCCCCGCGAGTGACATTGACGATGTCTCCGCGGCCAAAGGAGATTTTCAATATTTGGCCGCGATAGCGGAAGACGATAATGACGTTTCTTTTTCAGCAAAAGATATATCTAGGATTTTGCCGCGATTGCGGAAAAATTGATTTCCCCGTCACCATCGACGGGTCGCGGGAGATATTACGCCGTGATATAAGATTGGGGATTGGGCTGTGAACGCTGGAGACCATGATCTCATAGGTTTGGTTACATTTGCTATCACGTTAGACTATGAAAATGTTTCTTCCATGACCACAGGAAGCCGATTTTGCCACGATCATGGAAGACGGTGATAACGCCTCGGGACCTCAGGAGATGCCTTGTCAAGTTTATTGCAAAAATGCAAGTTTAGGCGGTAATATATGTGAACATGTTTTTAAACATTATTGGGAGAGGGGGCCCGGCGAACAAACCTGCGGGGGGCCGCGGGCTCTTATTGCCGCCACTGACAATAACAAAAAGCTAAGACCACTTTGGGAACTATTTGACATGCCGCAGCTTTACTAACATCCATTAAATCGCCAGTTTCTCTATTAAAAGTGCAATCTTAGTGCAGCAAACACTTTTTCCAGTGGACTCTGTTGTCGGGAAATCTGTGCATTAGAGTGAACGCTTCAATTCACTTGTCGTCCAGACAAACCTCATCGGCCTCATTGAAAAATCTAAATCTATCTTTAAGTTCATCTAGTCATAAAAGAGTTGTAGTCATAATAACGAGCTGGTCGTATGCGAGGTGGTGGTGGTACGTAGTAGTCAACATAATCAAGATATTCCATAGTCACGTTCACTCTACACACAGCAACTAGTGAGTACAACACGACGGTACTATCACCACGAACTGAACCGTATTTAATGAAGACTGACTTATGATGTTTCCCATGACAATTAATTAAACTATTTCTTATAACTAATGTTAGGATGGGTTACCGTTAATGTTAGGTGGTTAAACTGTCTATGATAAATAAAATTTATATTTTACGCATTATTTTATTGTTAATATTGTAAAATAAAGAGGTTTACCGGTCAAAATAGTTTTGAAATGATAATACTTTGTTATCATTTATCTGTTGTTTCAAGTTCTTTGTATTTTTTTATGGTTTAAGCGACTTTTTGCCATTTTTACATACTTTTTCAATATGGCGTTGTGGGTAATAATATTGTTAAGAATTTAATGAGGAACAGTACTAAAACATTGGTTTTTAAAAAATAATAAAATTAAAGGAGCTAATGATGTAACCCAGCATGATCAGCATGATGTCTCCATAAACCTGCCTCCAACCAGGTCTGAGCTGGAGCCCAAACACCATTGTTCCTCAGAGCTTAGCTCATTTTGGGCTCTGACTTGACTCGTGAAGTCACCAAGTATATCCTCGAAAGAAGACTATCTGTAATTGGCCTCGTGACCAAAATTTTTAAAACCGGTCTTATTCCTGCATGCTAATTGTGTGGAGTTTATTGTTTATACATTATATGGTTTTTGCATGGTCAAATAGAGCTTGTGAAAACTCTAAGATGATACTTATTCACAATAAATTCCCAATGACACTAAAACTTATAGATACCTAAGCAACCAACAATGCATTATCAGCTGATTGGCAATGACATAAAGAATACGGGGAAACCAAATTTGAGCTTTTTTGTCGCTAAACACTAAACAGTGTCTTATGGCTCTTATAATTTGGGAGTTGTGTTTAAAAAACCCCATCCGGTTGGTTTCCAAGTATGTACACTATATTTGAATGTTTCATTATTACTATAAACCTGTATTAAAGCTTAACTATGATTCAAGGTTGATGGTATTATTTCCTGTACATTTTATAAATGAAAAAAATTATTTCTCACATTATAGAACACAATAAACAATCATAATAATTGTTAAATAAATAAGTAAGATAAATTTTAAAATACTCTATAAGTTTTCACTTAGGCCTAATCTATATTTAGTTATAGCTAGACCGTATGTGTGAAGATGATGTCACTTGGTCAGTTTGCTACAATTGTTGTTTGTTTTCAGTGTTGCTGTCAATTTGCTCGCTGCTCTGTGATCCCAACCCAGACGATCCACTAGTCCCTGAGATCGCAAGGATATACAAAACAGACCGAGAGAAGTACAACGAGTTGGCACGAGAATGGACACGCAAATACGCCATGTGATGATTCGGCCACTAAGTCAACACCCACGTTTTAACTAGTTTTCAAAAACTGTCAAATTTTTAAAACAATACATAATATTTTTTTCTGATGGTCGTGGGTGAATGAAGGGAAGATGGTTTGCGTTGCCTCAGGGATACAGCCCTTCTTCACCGATGTTTTACTATATGAGAGTGTAGATTGCTTTCATCTGAAATTATTGTTTTATTTATTTTAATTCAGGGAACTCTTCAAGTAATACAAACTGAGATAGTTCAACTAATACCTTCAATGTCCCTCGATGTCAAAATGTCCCGTAATAAACCAAATTAATTTTCCCTACTCATATTTATTCTACAAGTTCAGACTGAACTGTTAAATATTTCACCCCCTTTTTACAAAACGCTTCCTACTCAAAACAGTTCTCTTTTAAAGTAAATTTGATGGATTATTGTTATTTTATTATTCCCGCTAAGGTTGAAAACCGCTGTATTTTTGGAAGATCTTGTAAAAAGGGGACATTTTTGTGTGCATAAAGGTTATTCGAACAATGTAATTGAAATTGTCTTTATACACACAAAATTAATAAAGTTTCACTTTGTAAAGTACTGAGTGTTGTATTTTTGCCTGTGCTTTGATATGTACATTAACTGTTGGCTCGTAACAGATTAGATACTCATACGCTTAATGGAATTTTGGGGTTTTATTTATATTATTTTATTTATAGGAATGTTTAATACAACGTAAATTGATTACTTTTAAACCTTAAATTTATTATATCCTCATGACTCTTGTAAGAAGGTTTGATTTCTGTCGCATTTACTGCTGTGGTTTTGATTAGTCATTAGAAATGTATAATAGAATCTAGCCTTCTTACAGATACCTATTCTTGTTTTGCTACTTGCTTGTATATTTGCATTTAAAAAATTAAATAATAAAAATATGAAATGCGATGATTTGTGAATTTTTTTCATGTTACAGTTTTACTTTTTTAGTGAAATCTTCACGGTCCATTTAATATATTGCTCGTGTGTGATATATTTTTACAGCCTGTGTCGATATTAGGTTCCATTGAACAGAAATCTTTTACAGTATACTGTACTGTGGCAACAGTAATTAACAACTGCCTGATAAGGGTTGCTAAACATTGGTTACAGTGAAAGCAGGCTACTCACCTGTTGTGGTCCAGAAAGCTATACAATGAATGACCAGCACAGTTTTCCATAACAATTAGAATCCCTAATAAACCTGATACATTAAAGTATTAGGCTACTGTTTTTTAGAAATCAAAATTTACAGGGACACTGTAGGCCTACTCTGTACAGTAACTTAGGTACAGTGATGTAGGTCATGAATATGCTTTGACAATTTTTGAAAAATCAACTGTGAAAAATCTGGCTTTAGTGGTTATTTTTTACCAATAATAAACGTTAAAAAGAGGGATGGCTGTTCCTCAAAACCTCTCGGTATAGGCTACTGTCGATTATTGATACTGTTGACTTACGGTTATATAGATTATAGCTCATGGTCATAAGTCTACAAGTCCCTTACTTAAGATCCTATCAGATCTATATCTAAACATTAAAACCACCAACAATAGAATTTATTAGTTTGGTAAAAAATTAATTTATTTTTAAGTAGCAGAAAAATACTACTTAAACTGGATTGGAAATTAAAATTATTGAGGCAAACTTAAGACCTCATTGTCCTTTCTTAAAATTAACTTCAAAAAATGTATCTATATTAAGGTTAAGAAACACAAACTTGAAAAAAAAACCCCGCAAGCCTCACCTATAAACCGCATACTTGAATTAAAGGTTTTTCTCTTGTGAGAAATTTTCTTTTAACATTTTAGTTTTCTTTAACCCCTCTCTTAAGGCTGGGGCCACAATTCACGATTCGGCTGAACAGTGGGTGAAACGTAGGAATTTAAGCTGTGCAGTCAGTGTCGGCACACACGGCGCAGTTGAACCGCTTCCTTTTTGGGTTTTCTGGCCTACGTTATCCATGGTAAAACGAGGTTCATTCCCCTCACAGTGGTAATAGACGAAACACTGATGTTAGTTTGTACGTTAGAGGCTTGTGTGAGCTGGAACCGAAGGTTAACAGAAATCACTGTCCACCCCTTCATAACAGATAGACCCCTTTGTGTTTAAAATCTTTTACATGCTCATGCAAACCATAGTTTAGAGTTTTATTGTTATTCCGATTTTATGTACATATAATCGTTTGACGAGCTACTTGAATTGCTTTGACCACAAACAAGGAAATACTGTCTTGAGAAATTCAATTGGTGCTTAAGAGCATCTGACAATAACATTGAGGTAAGATATAGATTATTCCATTTTACTTAATAAATACAAAAGAAGTGGATTTCGTCCTAAGTACAAGTTTAATTTCCATCGTTCATAACTTGTGCCATATTAGTAAACACTGTGTGAAAAACGGTGACGTCTGGAGTCATAAGACTGTTTGTCAGATTTTTCCATTATTTTATGGGAAAATCACTATAAAAGAGAAAGTTGAATTAAAAAAAAAAAACAGCAAGAACGATATTGATTTTAATTTACGTCCACATACTGGAAAGTCATGGAAAAAATTCTTGTCATTGAAAGTCATAGAAATAGGCAAAAAGTCATGGAAATCCCCAATGATTTGAGGGGACTTTTCAATGCTCTAGTCGGCCGTAACCTATTCTATTGTAGTATTTTTCACAAATTAATGTACCTACGACACAGTCTATGAGTTTTGGGTTTGTATTAGTACATTGTACTGCATTGTTATCTGTCAATACATATTTCAGTATTTTCTGTGAAATAACTTTTATAGGCAGTATTATTCGTGTGTGTATGTTGTATTATAATTTTTTTAATAAAGCTCGTGAGTCATGGAAATCAATGGTAAATGGTCATGGAAATTAATTAAAAATTGTCTGAGGACACTCTGATTTATTATGTTATAGTCCTTACAATTCTAAGACGGTACAAACCCCATTGCTGTAAAAATTACGGTTCAAGTAATTATTTATGTGATTTTCCCATAAAATAAGGGGAAAATTGGATTTCTGAAAAAAAGAGGGGACCAGTTTAAATTAAATTTAGTATGTGTACTGGTGAAATTACCTGCTGTCAAGAGATCCTTATGACCTTGATAGGCGACCGGTTTCGATCCTCACGGGATCATCTTCAGGCGTCGTCATCGTCTTTTCGTTCTTGCGAACACGTAGTTTTTTTAACACAGCTTTACAGTTTTACAACACTTAACAAAAAAGACTCAACTTCCGTGTCGCCCGCCGCTCGACCGATCGGTACCATATAGTTGTTGGCCATTTTTCGTTAAGTGTTGTAAAACTGTAAAGCTCAATGTTTTTTAAAAAACGTCGTGTTCGCACGAACAAAAAGACTGTGACGACGTCCGCCTGAAGATTATCCCAAGAGGATTGGAACCGGTCGCCTATCAAGGTCACAAGGTTGACAGCAGGTAATTTCACCAGTACATGTATTGATCAGTGATTCGGAGCTCAACTTAAACAAAATCCAAACAAAACCGTGATTGGAAGCTGTAATTTTTCTCATAAAATATAGTTACTCCCAATGGTTACCCTGGTAAAGGTTTTTGACAACCTAATGGGAGAAAGAATGTGTTGGAATAGCTGATACCTGTTTATTTAATTTCGCCTTTTTTTTAGCAAGAAAGGGTAACTTAACAGTATGAACTCCATCCATAATCCATGGACTGGTTCAAGTCTTAGGGTCAAAACTGTAGAACACATCTTCAAATTGCAAAATCCTCCATAAAAACCCTATTTCAATTGAGTCATTGTTACATTTCTCATCTTTACCATCATACAGCTCAGCTGATTGAGGCACCAATCAGGCTCTTCTGTTGCCATCTTTCACCCGAGTAGTGTGGAGTAATCTGTGTCCACCCCACAAACTGTGACATGCTGCCTGCTGGTCCATATGTGCCAGACACATACATGCATGCCCCTAGCTTACACGCCTCACAGTTGCATGTGTCTTGGTATACACCTGGCCTAACAATTGGTACAAATCCAACTGAAGCACCTACATTTAACACAGCGTTAGGAGTATGCTGTTGGTTCATTTATGATCAGATAAGGTAGGCACAATTTATGAATTTTAAGTTGTGTAATATCGGTATGAAATGGGTTCAATGGGTAGGTTTCTTTGTGTAGTTTTGCTGTACAGCTGTTATTTTTTTCTTTTGATAGGTATAGTTATTTTTAGACAGTACTTACGGGAATATTCAGCACTGTTTGCATTTTCACAAGCTTTCACTTTTGCATTTTCACTTCTTAACTATACTCCTTTCACAAAGTTTAGGCGGGTTGAGGGGAAGTGATTCCATCTCCTCCACCTCACCAGTCGCTATACCTTTAAAACAACACTAGACCGCTGACAATATAGATTAAGTTAAGAACGGACTTAGATAGATAACTATAGTCCGGCCGCTTAGAAAGCGACCTCCTCCAGCATTGGTTTAGCATTAGCGCGCAGGTCGTTTTCTAAGCGGCCGGACTATAGCTTTGAAATTTTACTTGATAGCTGGAAACTTAAATTCCACACAAAATTTAAATCAATACAACTCAGTTTCAACATCAGTTCCAAGTAATGAACGTGCTGATTTCTCTAATTCTGTTACAGGCCAACCCAAGGTGTCATGTAGACTGTGCCACCAGGAGGACTTTTGAGTGTCTCAAACATTTTCTGCAGGATACAATGCGGCCTTATACAAAGCAGCCTTACCCAGGCGAGCGAAGCTAAAACCGTGTCGACTTCCCGATTGTTAATGATGTCCTCAGCCAGGAGAACCTGAGGGAAGGATGACACACTTAGAGTAGGGATCAGTTGGGGAGGTACCTACGCTTCCAGGAACAGGGCGTGGAACCAGATGGGGCTAGAAAGGAAGTTTATGAAAATAAAAGCTGGAAAGCAGGGACACAACAACCCAGCCTCAAGCCTCAAGCAAGGCAAACAGGGAAAACATAAGAAAACTCCATCTCAAATAGAGCAGATGGTAAAAATGTCCTTGCCAAGCTCGCTAAAGAATATTTTTAAAAGGTCGAGCAATGAGGAACTGACTGAAGGAGAGGTTTTCACTGTACAATTTGATGATTGTCGATTCTGCCAATAAGGGGAAGAAACCATTAAGCATATGTCAGCAGATTATGAGGCAGACGGCCATAAGAGAGTCAGGAGTCTGGCGCTTTACCTGGTAGCAATTAGTAATATTCACTTGTTATTGTCAGATGCTGGATTTCTTCAAATTGTACGACTGGAGAGGATGCTCTATTCATGACACAGTTGATTTTGGACATAGTGTATACATCAGTTCCTGTAACTTTTATTTGTAATTAAAATAATAAACTTGGTTGTTCACTTTTTCTTTTGTGTTTTACTTCTCATATCTGATCAATCACATACAATCAGCTCTTTAGAGAAAGATTATTCCTGCAAACTCTCACTGATATGTTCTCACCCATGTTGTGTATTGCTTATTATAAATCAGTAATCATACCTTTTTACTACTACCTTGGACAACATTTTTTATAGGCCTAATTTATTGCTTAAGGAATGTAGGTCTAATGTCATACAGTGCCATAAATCCCAACAACTACTTTCTGTGTAATCAATTAAATAAGTTTATCTGGTAAAAAGTCGGTACAGTATACTGTAAATGATATTTTTCTAGCACACTATATTTTTGAATTGTATATATCATAAGCTCTTTAATTACTTCTTGATAGTTTTTATTGCCCTGTTATAGCACATTTTACTTATAAGCTATACCGTACCTATTAATCATACCGTATAGCTATACCATTAAGGTGGCAAGGTAAGGTGGTGAACCGCCAATAAAGTTGTGTTAAAAACATTAAATTACACCATTCTTTTTAAACAGTTTTGTGGAGCTACTAAAACAAATAATTCTATTTATTAATTTTAAGTAGATGTTCTAGTAAAATTCCAATAAAGTGATTGGAAATTCAATAGTTCTGAAGATTTACTGGTACAGTAGTTACTAGTTAGGCAAACCTAACCTCATAATAATATTACACTGTTTTATCAAAATTATCTTCAAGAATTGATTCCAAATAGTAATCATTTCCCCTTTCTTGTTTTGATGGTGCTTAATTAGTGGGAACTATTTTTTGGTGTGAATCCCAGACATATCTATAATATGTAGCCTAAAACAAATCTTAAAAACCCCTTAATGGTGTTGCATTCAAATGATATAAATTAAGTTCTAACTACAAGTTTTGATTCTGACTGTAGAAAGAACCATAGAACTTAAAACATTGCTTTTGCACTTCCATGTAAAACGTTTTACCATTTTTATACAGGCTAACCACTGAGTTCAGAGAGTGTTGAATTTAAATTCAATCAATTTTGCAACCATAACAATACTAGTGAATTCAGTTGACCTTTGTTTTTTTTTTTAATATCAAGTAAAATAAAAATAATTGCTCGAAAAGTCAACTTATGCATTAGATCAATTTTTGATTTTAATGTTTCTGCGATTTGCCTTCATTTTTCACATATTCTATCCCAGTAGATTACAATAAGATCTCGATCTCAGTACCTCCGAAATGAGAGCCACAAATCGATGCATATCTAATTTGTTCTTGTTAACAACTTGCCACCGGAATCAAGAGATTAATGATTTATTAACTAATAAATTTTTAAAGTAATTAATTATCTGTTGGCAGGAAAGAAATTAGTTCGTGTTCAAGTTGTAGACTTTCCTCACTATTTAACATTCCAATTCCATACACCACAGTACACGTTGTGGTATTGGAAATTTGAAGGCGTTTTAGAATAATAGCATTGGCAATACGCAGGCATCCAATTCGTATCTTTGAAAGGGCGGGTGCGACTTCGATTTAGTTCCTAAATACAAACAATAATAAATATTGTTTACAAAATAAAACTTCTTCACCAGTTCTTTAGAGATACATACTTAGAAAGACTTCACTTTTGATTCATGTCCAACTGTTTTTGAAAACGCCCCATTGTTTAGATATTGTTTGATTTTATAAATGCCAGTCCACAATCCTATACTAACACACATAAACTAACACTGCAGTTACTAAAATCCCCAGTTATAGAAATATTCCACCCATACGCCAGTCGCTACATCTCTAGGGGAATGACTTGTTGTAGTTCATCAGTTCATGGGAATGACCTGTCAATTACCCAATGTTGAGGTTGATGACACAAAATCTGATCAAGTCTCGGGGGTCAATCGGTCAGTTCTCTTCTGCTTAACACCTAGGTTTAAGATATTAGCAACTTTCACAGACCTTAATTTAAAATTTGACTGCTACAAATTTGTGTGTTCGTGATGTAGTATTGAACAAATTATCTTTAAATACGAGACTAGACTTGATCACGAAAAACGAGACAAAGTAGAGTTTGTGGAACTCAGTCAAATGTCGACAAACAAAAAACATCTTTTATGAGGCAGCTTTGCTTTACTACGCTACTTACATTACTAGCTCAAGGCTTCCATCAGTAAATATCAGTAATTGGTATTGGTATTGTAACTAAACCATTAAGCAACCTATGGTTCAAAGTCAAAACTAAAAAAAATTGTTTCTGTAGTTGTTTGTTAATGAAAATTGCAAAGAAAAAGTTCAAACTTAACCTTTGATTTAGGTCGTGTTTTTGATTGGTTTTATTTAAAAGTTCTGCATTTTTTAACGGTTGAGGAATTGGTAATTACTTCACTTCAAGACGTAATACGTAACACTATGCGAAAATAAAATTTGGGACATCGGAGTATCGGGATGGTAAAAAGCATAAACGTTGGCCAAACTCCTAAGTAAACTGAAGTATGCTGAATTGACATTTTTACGAATTGCCTGGCTATGTGTAGTCGAACACTATCGAAAATTCATGACCATATGACGCTGTTCCGCGGACAGGCACGATATCGACTACTGTACCTACTTCTACTAGAATTGAAAAAAGTCATAGAGGTATCATATAACAATCCAGTGATTGTTTGATAATTTCCCAGGAATATATTTATGTTATGTTAAACTATTTAAAATTTAATGTATGTCCTTCATTCAATACGATCGTCTCGAGGCCCCCGTGAACCACGTTGACATTAAGAGAACTACGTACTTAATTGTTTACTGCCTTGGTAATGGAAGGCAATAATTGCAATGTATTAACGCAATTAATTTAAATGTCTACACGCTTTTACTGCCAAGAATGTATTTATTTGTCTTTAACTACCAAGAACTGTTTGAAAATTAGTTAAACGGCGATATATCATTATTAGGAAATTCGTCTTTAATCGTACAACATCCTAAAAGCTTTAAGTACCTATTGTTGTTTTAGACTCATATCAAACGCAAAACTCGGGTACTTCTTAGATAATTATATTTTTGGAGCCAATAAATGTGGATAAGTAGTTATAAAGTGCTCCAGTACTGTATCTTGACTTGTAAACGCATTCTAGAAATTTTAAACTATTTTATTTTCAGGTTACAAACAATATTCCAACGTACTTTTTATCAAGCACTAACACAACACAGTCTTTGAATCTTTAACTTTCCTTTTTATCCACCAATGTTACCAACTGCGCACCTGGGAGGCTGAAGGCCACACTACCAACCTCCGCCGCAACAGCTGGTCTGTTCTCAGCTGATGCTTTGTTAGTCGGACACAGCTCTCTGTTGAACACAGACAGCTGTTGAGCAACATTCATAGTGCATTGTGCTCAACGCTTCTTTTATCAGTGGACCAGCTGATTAGAGAACTTTAGCAGGGGAAGTGCGCGATTTTATTCGACAATGAAAATCACTACCAACAATAACGAGAAGATGTCGGAAACGGAACTGAACGAAGACCCCATGGACAGTTCGTATTGCAGCCATAGGACTAAGACTAAGGTAAAGACATGAGATATAGTAAACTCGAACTTTGTGTAGGGTTAACAAGTTATCTTGTGTTAGGCCCGGGTTATCTCAAGCGATCGGGTTTGCACAACACAAATGTTTAGAATGCAAAACTATGAATTGATTTTGCAATATCCTCAATTAATCTTATAAACGAGTTAAAATCTTATGGTCAATTTTATAAATCATAGATTTATACATGCAACTTAAATTTTTAAATGAATAAATTTATTTGTACTGTAATGTAGTAATTACATTTTTCCCCATTTGTAAAAAACATAGGTAATAAAATTTTAATCGCAAATTACTTTACAAATGTAAAAAAGTGTGAATCTACATAGAGAGTGTTATTTTAGACTAATCTTCTAAATCCGTGCAGTGTTAGACCTATTATTATTATTCTATTTGCTGCATATTTATTCAGTAGCTATGTTGGAAGGCTGATAAACGCATTTATTATTTGGAAAAAAACTTTTAAAATGTTCCCCTTCTGATAATTTGTATTTTGAATGTTCTAATCACTTATGCCTTTGATAAAGTTTAAAAAAATATATATAATTTGACCACAACCGCCTGGCCTCGTTGATATTCGGAAGTCAGAAAAGTCACGCAAAATATAATGATAGTACATTTCATTAACATGCCATTAAATTCAACCTTGACAATTTCATTCAGAAATTCGAATATCATCACTTTATGAGCGTTCTGTTCAATAACTTGACAGTTTTACGACTTAAAGATATGTTTAAAGTTTGGAATTAGTGTTTTTGTTAGTTTAGTTGCGAACTTTATTTTATTTGTTATAAAAAGCTCGTAAAGTGCTTTATAGTAGGCCCTAATTATATCATCATTTTACTGGTTTCTTACCGTTCTTTTCCTTTTTAAAAATGAACAACATAATGACGCCGATATACGGTACGAAAATACATCGGAAATGTTATCAACTTGGGAAGTCAAGTTGTAGCCGTGCGAAGAAAAAGTATTGAAAATGGAAAAGTGTAGTAGTGAGTTATAATGAAATTTATCAAGTAGAAGAGTCAGATAGAGACATTTTCATTTAGCAATGTGTGTGGAAATGTGGAGAGTGAAATGCTGTATCGAGTAGCTAAAGTTTGATTTTAGGTTAGAAATCGTGGGGACACATGAAATCAAAAGTAACACGTGTGGGAATGAGCGGTAAATGTAAAATACAGTTTCCACGCAGCCCTGTTTTTCCAAAAGAGCACAGGGTTTCCAGAAGAGGCTTAGGGAAGAAGCTTTTAAATTAATTGGGTTGCTAAAGACTGAAAAGAGTGGGGTGAAATGAGCTTAAAGTATGTACCGGTAACAAAGCGTTAAACATAATTTTAAGTGGGGGGAAAATATACGGTAGGGAGTTTGTTGTAATCAAGATAGAGATAAATAAATTTTTAGCTAAGTGTGAATTCAACTACTTCAAGCGACGATTGTGGATTATGAGAATTGTGATTACAATAATGAAAATGAAAGTATGTTTTTTCGCGATAGTTTCCACAACATGCTAAAGCTTAGAGTGGTGGTAACACTGGGTTGTTTGTTAGTGATTAACCTTCGAGGTTGGTACGACTGCTGCGCATTGTTTACTATCACAAAGTGGGTGTTTTGGCTCAGGCGATGTTTTTAACGCGTACAATCTCAAGCGCAAACTCTCAAGTGTCGAAATTTGGCAAAAACAAAAGTAGGCTTGTTGATGTCAACAACTTGACGATTAACATTTCACCTTGTACTCGTTTTGCGTACATAAAAGGTAATGGGAAAAGTTTTTTTTTTATTTTTAAGTATGCTTGAAAAAATACTACGTAGCCTAAGTAAACTAGGAAACTTCGATGCGAGTTTATACTAAAATAAAAACTACAACACAAAATTCCACTTGCTACTCTGATTGGAATAAACAGCAGAAACTAGTGTGCACAATATGAACATATTTTTTTAGAAAATTTGTAAATAACTAAATTATATAGAGTTGTAATAAAAGCAATGGCACAATAAAGAAGACTTGCAGAAGATAAGTCTGCATGCACTATTGCTTGACAAACTTAATTATTACAAGTCCTTGAACTCCAATACAAAGGAATTTGACATTGCTTGTCATTTGACAACTGCTCAACCATGTTTCTTACTAGCTCAAAAGGTTTAGTAAAACGATTAGAGTAAAAGTTGAAATTGTTGACTCCGTTATAACAAACATTAAATTTATTTTAAACAATAACAAGTCATTGATACAACTGATGCTGTGTGAATAAAAATATAAGCACTTACTCTCATGATGAGTATTTGTAGGAGCAAAGTTAATATTGGCACAACCAGATGATAACATCTTTGGTCGCTTGTCAAAAGAAACAAAGTCAATTTTGTCTACATTGGCTCTTCAAGTAACTTCAACTACTTTGTCTCTGTTGAGAATATAAAAGTGTATTATTTTTTAATATCTTATTATTATTAGGATGATCTTGGGAACAAACAAGCACGCCTTGGCAGAATTGTAAAATTAGACTGCAATAAAAAACGAATTTTCAAAGAGATAATATATGATTGTCTGAGATAGTGGCTAAATACTATATTGCGAAAAAGTAGCCCCGTATACATAATAGTTCTTTTCTTTTTATTTACGTATTATTCTTTTCTTGTAAAGAAAATTCAAGAAATAATCTGTATTTATTTATTTGTTTGACGTTTCTACTGGTACAATTTTGATGTGAACCCATTTAGATAGATTGTTCTCAAGTTAAATTGCAATACGTTTTACGATTTAAATCTTAGTAGATTTAAACGTAAATTCAGCATTAGCATCGGATTAAAATACTCTTTAAAACTTTGTTTTTTGTAAGGGATTTAAAATGAAAGTTTAAGTGTATGTAAACTGAAACTGAAGAGATAGTACAGTACCTATACTAAGATTTGGAAACAATCATAACTTATGGTTAAACAATAAATTTCAATACTCAAAAGAAAATAATACGATTTAAAACCAATTTGGAAATCCAAACTATTTGGCCTGAGGATCATTGAACGCTGCGACGCAATGGTGAGGCAAAGGCAAAGCAGGAACTCCTCAAAATGTAGGTCGCTGGCGGTTGTTGGTACATCAACAAAATCACACAAACCGGTTCCTAGAGTTGTAAGCGGTCCAAAACCAACCAAAGTCTTATCTTTGTCTCTTCAGTTCCTTAAAAGAGATTTTCTTATCCCAAGATAAGATTTTCTGGTTAAAAATATTTTTTATTATTGGTACACAAGAAACTAGTTGTTTTACTCATAACGGTGAGCGTGATGACGTAGTAGTGTTGTTACTGTACAAAACAGGTACTTGCCCACATGTTTTAAAGAATCAAAACTCAATTAGAACTTGGTTTTTCTGAAATTCTCGTTGGTGTTCAATTCAATTAGATGTGTGGCAGAATAAATACATCTCTTCATCGAAATATAAACAAAGGAAATGCGTAAGAATAAAATATATAATCATTTAAGTTTTTCCCGTTTCCATGGGGGTAATTAAAAATTCCCATCACCCGCAACAAACTTATACACAGTCTTTGTAAGTACATGTAGTGTATTATATCACTGCTGTATGTCAATAGCTGACAGAGGTATATTTTAACACTGACAATATTTTTTTTATTGTTATTGCATACTTGAAGTTTTCCCCCTAAATGGATAAAAGACGTTTTTAACTTACAATCTACCTGTACCTTAAAGAGCTCACGAAGCAAATTGCCGACATATATTCTCTTCTTTTAGTGTCTGCCCTCTGTCATTTTGGTTTTTTAAAGGCAAGTTGGATTAGGACATTGGAAAATCCATTCGTTATTTATACAACTATGTGTGATTTTCCATTTACCTTCGTGTAGAAACTGTGTAGGAATCTTCCTGCCTCCAAACAAACAAAGTTAACAACACATGAGCTCCCTTTGTTACGCCGTCACTTAAAACCCCCTTCTCATCTCTTTTTACACCATCGAAGTGTCCATTTCAGTTTTCCTCTCGTTAAATTAGCCCCCTGTATCATTAGAAAATTCTGGTAACTTGTAAAAGTCATCGTATGCCTTGTTGATATAATGATCTGTATTAGAGAGTTGGTCGATCGGTCGTAGCTCGTAGCCTTGATCGGTTCTTCGGTTCGAGCTAATCTCGTCCTGCGCCATGGCGGGAGATCTAGTTCGGTCACCCGGAAATAGACAAATGCTGACAAACAGGTGTTGTAACAACAAATCGTCCACTGCCACCGCCTGCTGTATTGCAGTGCCGATATGAGTCCTCATGCCGAACAGGTCGAGGTAGCAGTGGCTGTAGATACCGGCATGACCGGCAAACTTCCGACCAAAGTGAGTGTATTTTCTGTTTATTTTCAACTTGATCCATAGTTTTATCGTAATGCGGACTTTGAATCGTATTTTTCTATTTACGTCATGAAATTAAAAAGTACCTTATGTAGATCAGTAGCAGTGACGTAATCAGGGTGGCAATGACCTAGGGTGCTACTATGGGGGGGGGGGGGGTTTGATCGGGTATGCAAAGCAAAGTCCTTTTGCCCTTCACAAACGTATTAAGTCAGGACGAAAAGTATGAATTCAAACAAATATTTCACACATCTCTGAGCTTTTGAAATATTCATTTTGTACTTGACTGATCGTTATTGAATCATGAAGTTATTTGTGTATAAATACACATATTATATTTTGAGCTTGATTGAGGCCAGATATTTGGAACTGCAGTCTAAATACTTAAATGATTTAAGGCGCAACCTATCTCATAAGTGCTCATTATTAGTTTTCGTATTCCAATCTCAGGAATTATAAATCGTATTCAGCCCATTCTTAATTTCAACGTGTTTACAATTTCAACTAATCAAACAAAATGCTTTGTGTTACCTTTTGTTAAGGTTTTTTTTTAATTCGTGTTACCATTCAAACCCTTTCTCTGAGATTAAAATGCAATGGAGCCAAGTTTGTTGCATTTCCTGGCTACACACTGCATTA